CTCTACTTTTAAAAAGTAACATTTTCTAAAAATATGTAATCAAATAAAACTATAAAAGGATATTTAGATACTTCTGTTTGCTCTACATACTTTCATTTTCTCCTTGTCGTCACTGGAAGAGTTAAGACATTCCGTGGAATCCTTAAGCTGGGGGTAACTAATTATTATTTTTATTTATTTCACATATTTGTATCTCGCCCTTCAGGGAGGCCTCACAGCAGGCAGTGATTCAATGCCGTTACATATAAATATAAAAATAAACAAATACAATTAAAAACACACAATTAAACATTAATTATTAAAACATCAATTAAAATAATGTAATCCAGATCATAGTCCAAGGCCTGCTCAATTGTCAATTCCATTAGTCCTTTATCCTTATTGCACTATTTACTGGTTGAATGCTTGGTCCCACAGTCATGTCTAAACCTTCTTCCTGAAAGACAGGAGGGAGGGAGCTGACCTGATGTCATTGGGGAGGGAGTTCTATAAATGTGGAGCCACCACTGAGAAGGCCCTGACTCTCCTCCTCACCAATCACACTTCCAAAGGTGGAAGATCAAGAGCAGGGCCTCCCCAGATGATCTTAGCTTCTGAGGCTGGTCATAGAGGGAGATATGTTCAGACAGATAAGCTGGGCCGGAACTGTTTAGGGCTTTATAGGCTAAAGCCAGCACTTTGAATTGTGCTTGGTAGCAGACTGGCAGCCAGTGGAGCTGGCATAACAGAGGGGCTGTAAGCTCCCTGTACACTGCTCCAGTGAGCAATCTGGCTGCTGCCTCTTTGACCATTTGAAGCTTTCAAACAGTGTTCAAAGGCAACCCCACATAGAGTGTGTTGCAGTAATCTATTTGGGGTGTAACAAGAGCATGGACCACCTGGGCCAAGTCTGACTTCCCAAGCAACAATTTGTGGGACAATCTGAGGATTCATATTCTTTCTCTGTGGAACAGTTAGTGCTTTTGTTTCTAGTTCACAAGTACTTTGCTTTTATTATGAAATACAACACTCTTTGCCTCTATGAAGGAGGAGGAGATCTCACTTTGTGCTATTCCTCTAAGGAACCCAGAAGTTTCTAAAAATATAGTGTCCAATATGTTGACACTCATAGAAATGAGCTATCACTAGAAAAGGGGCTATTACTATTATATTTCCAGTTGAATACATGTTGTTGTTCATTCGTTCAGTCGTCTCCGACTCTTCGTGACCTCATGGACCAGCCTACGCCAGAGCTCCCTGTCGGCCGTTACCACTCCCAGCTCCCTCAAGGTCAGTCCAGTCACTTCAAGGATGCCATCCATCCATCTTGCCCTTGGTCGGCCCCTCTTCCTTTTGCCTTCCACTTTCCCCAGCATAATTGTCTTCTCATACATGAGGGCAACAATTAATTGTACAAGACAGCCTGGTTTGATTGTGAGGCAGATCCACATCAGACACCCTGCATTTACCTGCTGTGTTTACTAGCATTAATCAGCAGGACCATGTGCTCCGAAGCAAGGGACACTTTGACAGGGCCAGTGCAGCAGTGGTGGTTGATTGTTGTTTTTATTATAGTCAGCCCTCTATCTCCAGATTCCATAAATTCCATAATTCATAGTGTGAAAATATTCCAAAAAGCAAATCATTTTACTACATCATTGTATATAATGGGACTGGAGCATCCAGAATGTTTGTATCCATAGGATGGTGGTGGTCCTAGAACCAAACTCCAACAGATACCAAGGGCCGACTGTATTGTATAGTGTAAGACGACACCTTTTCTGTCATCTAACACTATATAATACAAATTTCAACACTTGATTTTTTAAATCCTCAGGCTACATAAACTGATCCTATGATTTATAGCTTAGTGTGGAATTGGATAGTTCAACAGGAACTACAAAGTGAAACACCCAAGCCATTCCTGGCACTAGTCTCAATGCAGTGACTAAGAACTGTGCCACAAAGAATTGATTTTATTCCATTAACAGGTCGGAGCATGACCAGTATAAAACAATATTTGGAAACGATAACACTCAGGATATTTATCCGTGGAACATGGTTGCTTCACTTGAATAGAACAACTCAAACTGCCATTGGAAACATTTGGAAAGGTCACGCACAGAGGAGAAACAGATAACCGAGGGCCTTTTCACATTACACACATATACACGATTCCATATTAACTCCACAAAAAAAGAAGCACTACAGAAGTAGTTATTTTTTTTAAAAAAACTGTCTTCATGGAAACTCAGAATTATTCCACTTCCCAACTCTTGGTACACACTATGTATCTAATTTTTTTTTTCAAAAATCTTTTTTTGTTCTGAATATAAGCACAAATATAAACAAAACTTTTTGATTAGAGAAATGCAAAACTTAATTTTGCAATCATTTTGCTGATGGGGTGAAATTATACTCTTTCTCTTTTCCAGCCTCAACCTGCCATTCTTGTCCTGAATTACAAAGAGCAACTGGTGAGCTTATTTAAGGAACACCTCTGTCATGTTGCCATTTGCCTTAGTCAGAGGCAAATATCTGCATTAGCTATAAACTGACATGAAATGTTGGGACTCTTTTAGAGTGTTCCATAACTGGAAGCCTTGCTAGCTTCAGCATTGGTTGTACTGAAGCAATGCTTTTGAAAATGAGACTGTCTGTGATTGTCAAGGCTAAATTCCTCAAATTATGTTCAAGCTTGTACAGTAGCAGGACTACAGCCTCGGGCTCCCGTACTGATTTCTTTCCCAGAGCAAGTTCTTTGAGGATAATTCTGCAGGAGTTGTATTTCCACTGTGGTTAGTCCACATTCTCCTTTCTTCTGGCAACTGGATCAACACAGTGAGTGTCTATTGCCTCTGAGCAAGTAGGAAGAGCAAATAAGCATGAATCAATCAGCTTTCATGTCTGCTTCTGATGGCAGTAAAACACACTATACGTAGAATCTTGCATTGGTAACAAAGAGCAAACTAAAATACATTAAAGATTTTTCCTGGCCCACTTCTATTTATCACAGGACACTGAAACCGCACATGTGTAATGATGTAAGGCTCTATAGGTTGCGTGCCAATTTACAACCCAGAACTGATAATGGTCTTGATTTTACAGGTACTAAAGTGGTGTGAGGTTTGATAATGAACTCAGTGGAATACAGAGCAGTCATCAAGCTCCTTTACTTAAAAGGATGCACACCAAAGGAGATGTTCGATGAGAGGAAAGACGTTTATGGTGATGATTCCCCATCATACGATGTAGTCAAGAACTGGCATCATCAATTGAAATGTGGTCAGATTTCAGTGCAAATAGCTCCAATTCCAGGTTGACCCCACTCTGCTATTGATGAACACACCATCCAGAAAGTGGAGCTTGCCATTTTGGAAAATCGCCGCATAACCATCCGCCACCTAGCCCAAAATGTCAAGATCAGTGTGGGGTCTGTGGAAAAAATAATCCAAGACCATCTTCATATGCATAAGGTATCTGCTCACTGGGTCTCCCGGCTGCTCACAACTTTCCAGAAGCAAGAATGAGTTGAATGCTCTCAGGCTCTATTGACGATGTGCCATGGAAACCAGGAGGCCTTTCAACAGACTGATCACACAGGATGAAAGCTGGGTTCATCACTATGATCCCAAGACTAAAGTCCAGTTGATGCAATGCAAGCATCATGACTCACTATCTCCAAAGAAGGCATGTGCCCCACTCTTGGCAGGCAAGGTCATGCTCACAGTATTTTGGGACCAGCACAGAGTAATATTAATGGATTTCCTAGCAGAGTACCATGATCACTGGGGCATACTATGCTTCACTGCTGCAGAAATTGTGGGAGGCCATCAAAACCACAAGACTCTCTATGATGAGACGATGCGGATGATTTAGTTTAATTATATGATTGTGGTTATTATTGATTGTTATGTAGATATTCGTTATGCTATGGCTTATTGTAAACTGTTTTTATATGTTGTACACCGCCGTGAGTCGCCCTAAGGGGCTGAGAACGGCGGTCAACAAATGCAATAAATAAATAAATAAATAAATAAGACGTGGCATGGTCACCAAAGGTATCCGCTTTCTGCAAGACAATGCACCAGTTCACAACTCACATGTTGCCTGAATGGAAGCATGCTCCTGTGGCTTTGAAATTCTACAGCATCCCCCTTATTAACCCAATCTTGTACCACTAGACTTCTACCTCTTTCCAACAATGTAGTTATTTTTGAAGGGCAAACATATTTCAGATGATGAGATACTGATTTCTGAAGTCACAACGTGGCTTTTGGAGCAACTTGTCAACTTCTACAAGCGACATGTTTATAGTTGCTAAAAAGATGGGAGAAGTGTGTGTCCCTAGGTGACACCTAAGTAGAGAAGGACTAATAACTGTGCCAAGTTTGATTAGTCTCAGTAGATGGAAGTGGGTCAGGGGAAGTCTTTAATGGTCTCCCCTTGTATAATTTTAAAATAAAACTAGCTTCTTGTTCCCTCCAAGGCCTACAAATTCGCAAATGTGCTGAAATGAGTCTGTTACTAAATAGGAAGATTTATTCATACTGCAAAATTGATCCCTAAGATTTTAATCTTGAGCAATAAATAGGCACTTCAAGAGAAGTATGCATTTACAATGGCAGTCTGAAAGCTAGGCATCATTTAGAAGTGTGGTTTTACTACAATGGGTGGGAGATGGCAAATACTTAGATCCCAGTGCCAACATGGATTATAACAAATCCAGTGAGTATTTTGTTTCTCAATTATTCAGAGAAAATTTAATCCTGATTAAGTATCCTTGGACAGGAATTCATGGGTAGTTGATGACTGAAACTAACATTTATTTGAAATGCTTCTGTTAATTTAATCTGCGAATATGGCTTAATTATGATCGAATCCCCAATGTAAGAGTAATGAATTATATCAGGATTAAAATTCTACTCCTGCATCACTCATTCCACTCAATTCGTCAGTTTTGGAGACTTCTATTATAATTATACTGTCGCATTTGTTACAAAAACAACGTAACTCTGTGCTTAGTCCATCACCCATATGCTCTTGTAACATTTATTTAAAATATAAAATGCAAAAAGCAACCAGTGATGAAACTAAAATTTGAACTATATCCAAATCTCAAGGCAAGAAAGTGCTTTATATATTAAAAATACATACAGGAGAACTACGGTACACTGTAAACATTTTACACTGGTTTCCTGGTCGAATTACAATTTTTCAAGTCCCTTTAAACTTATGCACAAATACTTTGTTTCAAACCAACTTTCAACCAATCTATTATCCCAATTCTGACTGCTTTATACATTTTGATAAAACTCTGATGTAGTTTTGGAGTGGAGATATTGTGACTAAGAATGTTCTTTGTCTTCACTGAAAAAGGCAGGAACCACCACACATTTCCTTGTCACATTGTTGTTGATAAAGACTTCACTGCTGTTTGTGTCATGATCTAGTAAAAATGTACGTGCTGAGTTTAACTATATTTAGTGGATTCCAGCTGAAAATCAACACAGTTTTCCAGTCTTTATTGCATCTGCCAATGAATCTCCCAAATGCATCTCAGAAGTGATGCCGACTTTTATGTCCAGATGCTACAGTTAAGGGCAATGTCACCGAGGAGAGGGAGGATACTTCCCAGTAGAGACTGTGGGAAACAAAGAGTTGGTACAGAAGCACCATGGAGAACAACTGGCAGAGGATGACACCTATGGTAATAATCTAAAAGAAACAATAAGAAAATATTATTGGAAAAGGAATGGGGAGAGAGGGGAAAAGACATAGGACAAAACATACTGCACAATTCTGGAAACATAGAATTAAAGAGCTGGAAGAGACCACGAGGGCCATTCAGTCCAAACTCTGGCCTCATAACATGCACTGGAAAGAAGAATGTAAGATCTCTTAATAGAGAGCTTGAGTACTCTGTGTTGTCTGCAGGTAGGCAAGTTGTGGCTCATGTTGGTTATACCAGCTAAAACTGATAGGAGTTGATACCTGGAGAACCACAAATTTCTCATGCCTGATGTAGTCTAGAACATTGGTTCTTAATCTCCAGGTATTTTGGAGAAACTTTCTGACCACTGAACATGCTGTTTGGAGTGTACAGAAATTCAAAATGTATAAAGGATCCAAGGCTGAGAACCACCAACCTGAAATATTCTCTGATGTAACTATTCAGTGTACCCAAAGACACATTTAATGGCAGCATGACGAAGTGCCTTCCTAATGACTGCTCCCAGGTGATAGAATTCCCTTCTAAAGGAGGCTTGTCTCTGTGACTTCCAGGTTGTCGGGTCTCTTTCTGCCTTCTTTAAGTAGGGCCAAACCTTCCGTTCCACACAGCCTTTTCCAAGTGCTGTTGATGGTCACTTTTAAAAAGGTGCCTGGAATGCCTATGGACAGTTGGGCCCAATGGTCCCAGCACAATTCCACTTTTTCTGAGGGGAATTTGAATTGTTAGTAACTGCTTGCCACAGGAGCAGAGAAGTGCCTCAGGAAAGCATGCCCAATTTCATTTGTTGTCTTTATACCCTGCCTTTCTCCCAGAACAGAATTCACCCAATGCTCCTATCCCACCAAATGTCTTCCAGATAGGAACAGTTACCACAGACTGTATATGGCAGTGGTTCTCAACCTGTGGGCTCTCAGATGTTTTGGCCTTCAACTCCCAGAAACCCTAGCAGCTGGTAAACTGGATGGGATTTCTGGGAGTTGTAGGCCAAAACGCCTGGGGATCCACAGGTTGAGAACCACTGGTATGCGGCTTCTCCATTACTGCAGTACAAACACAGGGGTTTTTCTTTCTCTCTAAATGTCCCTGGAAGAAAATACACTGGGCTGTTTTGTTTTCAAGAGTGCAAATTTTTCCTCATTTTGTGGAAAGCCACAACCCATAACTGCACTCGCACATCCACTAGATAAAGTGAAATAACTGAGAATTATAGTGGGTTTTATTTAAATGTGACAGGATCTGCATGCTAAGTAACTGGTTCCCACTAAGGTAGTAACATCTAAGTCACATATATGTGACATTAATTACTGAAAATTTGAATGTGCAATTAAATAGGTCATTTCTTTGCTTTCCTTTGCCATTCAGATCTGTATAAAAATATTCCGATTTTAACTTTTCAAACATTATTTGCCTCCAACTACTTCAAATTACACAGAAATGCTGTGTATTAGCTTAAATTAGATGGTAAACCCGGGAGTGGGAACTGATCTTTGTAAGCTGCTCTGGAGCCTCTTTTTGCCTGAAAAGGGGTATGAGAGTAATTAAATTGATATTGTGCATGTGTAGGCATTGGGCTGGGATTGATTCACTATACTGAGAAGTGGCGTTGTTTATACTTACCTTCTCTCGTTGATAATCTCTAAACATTAGAGATATAGCTACAAGACCTGGATGACACAAGAACCACAGAATACAGCCCTGAAAAAAGAAAAGAACACATAGTTGATGGCCTGTTTCCATATGTTAATAAGGTAGGTTAATCTGACAATAATTGGGACTATTTATGCCATTCCCATTCTTACATTACATCTCAAAATGTGGGCTTCTAAAACATACCGGCTTCTTTGTAGATATCAGATATAATAAATGTAATTTTAATATCAGATGTAACAGAACAGAATATTAACTGGGTGGTGCCTTTGAAACTAAACTAAAAATTAAAATGAGAAAGTACACTTAATCAGTCCTCTATAGAACAACCCTAAGGATGTTGATTCAGTAGTAATCCTCACTGTATTCACTGTGGTTACCTCCCACAAACATGTGTATCAGATTGCTTTAGGTTGCAATCCTATTCATGCTAACATGGAAGTAAGCTTCATGGAAGTCATGAGCAAACATGTCTACAAGCATAATGAAGCATATTTCCCCCTCAGACAAGTTTTTGTGCGTTAAGTAGTTTTTTAGAACAACCAATCTAAGACACAATATCAACTTTCCACACAACACACATACCTTTGTGAAGGTAATATAGAATTCTCTCTTCAATGTACTTCTCTCAATCCGAATGATCTGGTAGAGTCCACAGCCCAGAGAAAGAGCTAGGCAAATTCTTAAGCCAATGAGAAGTCCCCCTGCTAAATTTTGGTGTGAGTGGTAACTGTGGTGACTGGTATCTTCAAATTGCTCCCAAATTAATAGAATACTCTGCAGAGGTACAAGAGATGCATTTAGAATAGAGATGATGCCATGACAATTTTGTCTTAACACATTTGAAAATACATGTCATTATATTATTAGGGGCCGTGGTCACACAGCAGGTTAAACAGCTAAGTTGCAGAACTTGCTGATCGGAAGGTCAGCGATTCAAATCTATGGACGGGGTGAATGGCTGCTGTTAGCCCCAGCTTCTGCCAACCTTGCAGTTCAAAAACATGCCAATGTGAGTAGATCAATAGGTACCGCTTCTGCAGGAAGATAACAGTGCTCCATGCAGTCATGCTGGCCACATGACCTAGGAAGTGCCTGCGGACAATGCTGGCTCTTCGGCTTAGAAATTGAGATGAGTACCACCACCCAGAGTTGGACACCCCTCAATATGGATCACTATCAATATGGACCGGGCTGTGGAGCAGTTGGCTAGGAGTCCACTGTATTAAATCACCAGTGACTGAAAGGTCATGAGTTCGAAGTCAGCCCGGGTCAGAGTAAGCTCTCAACCATTTGTCTAGCTTGCTATCGACCTTCGCAGCCTGAAAGACAGTTGAATCTGTCAGGTAGGAAATTTAGGTACCACTTATGCAGGGAGGCTAATTTAACTAGTTTACAACACCATAAAAATCTTCAGCAGCAGGCAAAAGAATGAGGAAGTACTTCATCAAGGACTTGGTGTCACAAGTGACAGCTCCCCTGGTGGCCGGAATTTAAGCATATCCTCATGAAGCTTAAATTGCCTCTGTGTTTGTCTATATATGTTGTGTGTAATCCGCCCTGAGTTCCGGCCCTGAGTCCCCTGTGCAGCCATATTTATTTATTTATTTATTTCCAACATTTCTACCCCATCCTTCTCAACCCCTGGAGGGGGACTCAGGGCGGCTTACAATGGCAGCAATTCAATGCCGACAACATACAACACGTTACATACAACATTATGTAAAAGATAAAACAGATTAAAAAACATTTAAAACATTCTTATTATTATGTAGCTGAATGAAAGTCTGATTTAGCAACCGACAACCCAGTCCAAAGTCTGTCACAGTCAAAATCCCAACATTATGATTACTGCCAAATCTATTGTCCAAAGGCCTGGTCCCAAAACCATGTTGTGATCTTCTTTCTAAAAGAGAGGAGAGATGGAGCTGATCTAATCTCGCTAGGGAGAGCATTCCACAGGTGGGGGGCCACCACCGAGAAGGACCTGTTCCTCGTCCCCACCAAACACACTTGCGAAGAGGGCGGAACCAAGAGCAGGGCCTTCCCGAATGATCTTAAATTCTCAGGTGGGACGTATAGGGAGATAGGTAAGCTGGGCCAGAACCGTACAGGGCTTTATAGGCCAGGGCTAGCACTTTGCTCGGAAATGGACTAGCAGCCAGTGGATCTGACATAACAGAGGGGTGAGATGTTCCCTGTATGTTGCTCCAGTTAGTAATCTGGCTGCTGCCAGTTGGACCAGTTGGAGTTGCCTTTGAAAACCCCATGTAGAGTGCGTTGCAGTAATCTAAGAGGTTTTTTGGCTCCATTCCCTTTTTGTACCTTTTCCACATTGCTAAGAGGCTTACTATATGTCAGTTAAATTCTTTATTCGCCTTGTCCTTATCATCCCATAGATAGGCATGTCACCTGTATCTTAAATTACGGCTCTTTAAATTAAGCAACTCCTTACTGTCCAATTTAATCTATTCCTGGTGAAAGGAAAGCAGGGAGAGGGCCAGCCTAACTTCTTGTGGAAGGGCACTCCAGAGGGAAAGAGCTGACACTGAGAAGGTGCTGTCTTGTGTCCTCACTAAGAGAACCTGTAATAGTGACAAGACAGGGAAAAAACCTTCTCCGTGAGAATCTTAAAAGCTCTGGCAGGTTTGTATCAGGAGATAAGGTCTTTCAGATAATCTGGACCCAATTCTCATAGGACTCTGAAGATCACGGGCAGCACTTTGAAATGTGCCAGAAACAAATTAGCAGCCAGTGACACTGTTTTAACAAGGGACTTATATGCTTTTTATAACTGGTCCCAGTCAGCATTCTGGCTGCAGCATTCTGAACTCACTGATATTTCTGAACACATTACAAAGGCAGCCCCATGTTAAGTGTGTATTAGTACTCCAAATAGGATATAATCATGTTATAAAGAGGAGTAAACTCAATTATGAAATTCTACCCATGAATTCTGGAAACAATTCTATTTTCCATACGAGTCAAGCTGCAGATACCACACATTTATTAAAATTTGGGAGGTTTGCAGGGGAACAGATAAAACTGCAATAGTTATCAACGAGAACAACCCCCCCCCCCCATGGATTTCTTTATATTTGAACACACAATGCCATCGAGCAACAGACCTGAGTCACGACAACAACTACGGCAATGGCAGTGGATGTTGGAGTTGAATCCCACTGGAGAGGTTTACTCTGAGATTTCTTCATTCTTCCAATTGCCCATCCCATACACAAACTCAGCAGTAGGTATAGCATTTGCATCTGAGAGATTATGTCACACACTGATGGAAAGGAAAAGAAAATTAATGTAGGTATACATTACACTAATGATAACTGCTGCAAATAACGATCTTGCACAGAGCTTTTGATTCAGTAAACATACTTAAGATGAGTCTATGTCATTGCAACAAATCCTCCAATATAACCAGCTGGAGGATCTAGCCAAGGTAAATAGGAATGTAATTCAATACTCTGGGTATATTTAAAGTATTTGCCTGGTACTTGGATACTAATCTTCCTGCACATACAGCATCATCCTCATAGAGCTATACACCAGAGGTTGCTGCACAGAACATCCTTTCTAGAGTATCATTTTCAAAGGTGCAATACAGCATGGAAGTGCTGTACACCTTTTAGGCCCAGAGGACAAAATGTGATGCCAACTTTGGAACTACAGATTTCAGTGGTCCTCTTTGCTCCGTAAGAGAGAACGAGGGCTTCCATTATTAGTTTGGAAGGAACAGTGTGTATGAAATCAACAGGAAACTGCCATAGAAAAATTTGGTACTGCAGGTGGAGTGTGCGCATGACAAAATACTGTCAGACGAGGTCCTACTTAGTGGATTAAATGCAGCCCCTGAGCACATGTGTCTAGATGCATCCTGGAGAGGTTACTGCATCTATCAAAAAGAAGTGAGAACAATTGTTATGGCTGCTGAAATCATAGACCGTTTGGAAATATAGCCATCGTTTCTTTTGAATATTTTTTAAAATATAGTGCAGTGGGTCAAACTGCTGAGTTGCTGAACTTGCTGACTGAAAGGTCAGTAGTTCAAATCTGGGGAGCAGGGTGAGCTCCTGCTGTTAGCCCCAGCGTCTACCAACCTAGCAGTTTGAATACATGCAAATGTGATGTTGGAGATGTCTGCGGAGTTTTGAAATGAGGAAGAAAACAGTGGAGATAGAAAAGTACTGTCATTATCTCCTATCCCCATCTTTGTATTCTTTCTCTTGAGAGGTAAACATTCCTGGACTACTCTTTGGCTGCTATTGTATGACTTCAAGTAGTTTCCGACTTATGGTGACCTACACTGGGGTTTCCTGAGGCTTAAAGTGTGTTACTTGTCCAGTGCCTTTGTATTTCTGAGTGAGAATTTGAACCCTATTCTCCACAACCAGTTATTCTGCCTCCAGGGTGACACTATGGTCAACTTCCTGCAGCCATGAGGAAAGACCTGGAGATTTCTAAGAGAACACATCTCTAGGAATCTTTAGTCTTCCAATATGATTCTATGGTCAGCTTCCAGCCAATGTTGATCACAGAGTCACACTGGAAGAATTAGAAATTCCTAAAGATGTATCCGTTCAGCTAAAAAAAAAAAAATCATTTTCCTTATCTGCGTTTTTCACTTTCATGGGGGTCTTGTACCCCTAACTCTAACAAAACTCAAGCCTTGACATTTTCCCACCTTAATGGGAAGATTAATTTTATCAAGTGAAATGTAATTTAAACAAATGTTATGATGCAATCCTTTGCCTTCCTATCTGTATAAAACCCCTACCATGGGGCTTAGATTCAAGTAGACATGCCTGTTAGCTTCATTTGGATGAAGCATTTTCAATAATGATGAGGAAAAGAGCTCACAGAGCTGTGTCAGCCAAGCCTGCAATGTAATGAAGTCCCTCCTGGGTTTTCAACAAATTCAGCATGTCACAAAGTGTCCTGTGTAGAAATTTACTTTATCTGAGTTTTCATACATGTATCAGCCCAAAAGTAAGATACACTTACGTTCTGCAAGACTTCCCATAAGAGGTGCTCCGACACCATTTTTTGAATAACTGATAAAAACAAAACAAAAAATCCGCCGGTGAATAAATCTATATTTTAAATTGCTCATGAAAAAAAATTCTTCATTAAATATTGGCCCTGTCCATGCAAGGTAAGTATAACCTAAGTGATGTTTGGATATGAGAAAGAGATAAACATTCCTGTAAGAACTTTTGAGAATATATTATTCTAAAAAACATGCTGGGGATCCCATATCACATGCTAAAATGAAACACTGACATATTCTTGTATAAAAACTAAACCTCATCAGGCAGAAGTTTAATTTTTTTCAAGAAATATATACAATTATCTATCTATCTATTTATTTATTTAAGCTTACAAGGACTGTAGCAAAATAAGCAAATGCACTGAGGAGATTCCCTATTTGGTTTCCTTCAATAATAATGATAAAAAGTATTGTAAATGATAAAAAGTACTGACAAAACATTTCCTGGATCTCACTCCTACAACTTTGGGATATGATTTTCCAGGGAGAGTCCAGCTGCTCTTCTTCATCCTGTGAGTTTGAGAGAAAGCAGAACAGCCACAATCTTCCAGACAAACAACACCCTGAAATCAGAGCAGCCAAGTTCTCGATGTTTGTTAGGAAGACAGCTGCTCTTCTGCCTTTCCCAAAGTCACTGGGAAAGGCAGAGCAATCACTGCCTCCCTTGCAAATGGTTTCTCAAACTTTGCTGCTCCAAGTTTGCCAGAGAGCTGGGGGCTGATCTGTGTCACCCAAAGTCACTGAGAGAGGAAGAGTGGCTGTTGTCTCCCTTCAAACTTGGAAGATCAGTCAAAATCTATATCAAAATAGTTTCCTAATGTGTTTTATCTTGCACCATGATTATCGCTGGATCTTATTTCCTACTGAAAATCTATCTTTTTTGCTACTATTACATCCCACCTGAATCTTGCTCCATGTGATAGTATATATTTCATGAGGCATAAAATACATGCTATCGAAGTCCTGCATCAGACTAGTGTGCCTAAGCAAACTTGGAGAGTGCATGCACATAAGATCTCTGGCTTCTTTGCTGCTGTAGAAAATACCAGGGAAACATCATAGAACATGTAGAAAATGTATTTACTTGGTTCAATATAGATTCCTCTTATATCACAGACAGTTTGCTTCTGTATAATTAACTGTTGTGATGTATTATGGGATCAGTGATTCAAAGCCTGCTCTCATAGGCACATGAGCAAACATGGAAGAGTACGAGATTTGCAATGAAAAGACTCAGGTTCAATACCTAACATCTAAGTTACTTAGCTGTTAGATGCCATAAAGACTTCTGTAACCAAAACAGCCAGTTCAAACAAATAGATGACACTTGATGGTATCACAGTCACTGAGAGAAAGTTGAATTATTATTATTATCATTTCCTTTTACCACAATTTTATATTTACCTTGAAAAATGCAGGTAGTTTGCAAAAGCAGAAGCAGCTTGCAACAGCAGAACAGTGGATAGTACTTTTAACACAGTGTGCATGGGTCCTCCTTTTTTAATCGTCTGCCACAAGGACTGTGCATATATGCAAGCACCAACGAAATACGCCAGGACAAGCAGAAAGAAGAACTCATGGAGGCCTAGGAAGAGAAGCAGGATGTCCCTTCACATTCCTTCACTGACACATTTAATAGCTCATTTTTCAAGCAAAATGGAAACAGCTGCCAAAGTAAGTTAAAGCAACAAAATAAAACTGACAAATGAAACAAAATTACTGTTTTAAAGGATACCAAAAACAGCTACAATGTGAATAAGTGGAATCCAAGCACAGAGATCTAAAACATCTGAGAAATTAAACAAGATTTCAATTATCAGTACTGACAGGGCGACCAATTTAGTGTCAGATAAAGTTCTCTAAAGAGAGACTTTTAAAGACCCATAAGCTGAAGAACTTAACATTGGAGATCGGCACATTTTAAGGCATTTTGGAAACTGCTTTGTACATGGAGACTCACTTCTCCTCCTGCCCACTTGTCCAGTCCATTCCTGGCTGCTTATATATGGATGAACCAACATATATCTCCAAGGATCTCTATCCACATCTTTGAACTGCTTATATGAAAAAGGACCCATTATCATTGAACAAGGAGCCCCCAGTGGCGCAATGGGTTAAACCCTTGTGCCGGCAGGATTGCTGATTGACAGGTCAGTGGTTCAAATCCAGGGAGAGCAGATTGAGCTCCCTCTGTCAGCTCCAGCTCCCCATGCGGAGACATGAGAGAAGCCTCCCACAAGGATGGGAAAACATCAAATATCTGGGCGCCCCCTGGGCAATGTCCTTGCAGACAGCCAATTCTCTCACACCAGAAGCGACTCGCAGTTTCTCAAGTCAGTCATAACACAAAAAAACAACAGTGAAATCCTGGCATAGCTCTGCTGATGTCCCACTCTGTAAGAACTGTGGTTCCCAGCACTGGGTCCTCCTGTTTGGCACTTCAACTCCCAGAAGCCCCAGCTTGGTCAAATGTCAATAATTCTGGGAACTGAAATCCAAAACACCTAGAGGATCGAAGATTGGGAATCACCACCCTAAGCCTTTTTGCATTGCTGTTTGAATTGGACTGCGATGTGACCAGAACAAACTATTCTATCAAAAGAGTTTCCCCTCCTCATAATGTATAGGGATGCCCTGTTGTAAAGGTCTTTCCTCTATACATTTTACACCCATTTTTCTGGAAGTTTTAGCACTGATTATAGTGTTTGAAGTAGTTCTAGCTGTGTGTTTTTGGCACAGCCTTCCGTTCATAGGTAAGCTTTATAGTTGATATGTTACAATAAGCTGTTTTCCATGTTATGCATGAACATTTGATTTTTAAAATGTTTACTATGAAAAAATTAGCAACATACACCTGTGGTGTGTCTCTCCTGCCGCTAGATGTCACTGCTGCAATACTTAAAAAGCACAGTGAGTTCATATAGATTTCAGTTTTGGAGAAGTTACATTCATGGGAATGCACTTTAACCAGCATTGTGTCACATCAAGGTGAATGAAAGGACCTTGGATCCTGCTTTTCTCAATACAAGCATGCTACCTCCATCTTTTATATATTGCCTAGCATTTGTTACTTTAAGAAGCTTTGTTCAGAAGTTGTTACTTTATTTGTTTCTATATCTACTTCAAATTCCTAATTCATTTCTTGTAATGGCCAGACCTTTCTTTTCAAGTTGTGTTAGCAATAGACTAGAGTGGAACGTTATGGAACAATATTTACTATCCTGTTATAAAAGGAAGCAATAATATTACCAACTAGTAGGCAAAATGGTGCCCTCCAGAGGTTTTGAGTCAGAAGTTCCCTAACTTTCTCCATGGACTATGCTAACTTGATAGTCAGAGGCATCTGAAACATGCCTGATTGCCTTCCCTTGGCATAAATCGCTATAAATAATCCATTGCTGAGCATAGCATTAACGATACATGAATATGTAACTGTATCTACTATTGTAAAATAAATGGAGGGGAGGTGGTTAAATGTAAATAAATGGAGGGCTCTCAGCTTCAGTTATTAACCCACGTACAGTATTTACATGTCTAATGCGCCATCGAATCTGTTGCGCACCTCAATTTTCAAAACCCTGAAAGCAGAAAAAGTATTTGCTGACGAATGTAATGTGTAGCAGCAAACAGTGCACTCTGTCATTTGGCTGAAAAAGGTGTGCATTACAGTTGCTGCCTGCTTAGAAATTCTTCTTTAAAAAAGAAAAGTGTTAGAATACTTGGAATGGAAAAGAAACCTTGGGTTGCATCTGTGCTGTAGAATGAATCTACTTTAACTGCCCTGGATCAATGTTATGGAGTCATGGGACCTGTGGTTCTCTGCCAAAGAATGCTGATGCCTCACCAAACTACAAATCCCAGGATTGCATAGCACTGAGCCATGGCAATTAAATTAGAGATAATGTCCCTCAAACAGGAGCTCTTGAAGCAGCATCCACTTTTGCTTTGGCCCAGAATTAAGGTTATTGTATGATTTCGGGACTATGTGCTACGTTTGAGGATGCTTGCCACAGATGCAGGCAAAACGTCAGGAGAGACTGCTTCTAGAATATGGCCATACAGCCCGAAAAACCTACAACAACCAAGTATTTTTGTATGTTTTTATGTCTTAATACAGCATTGAATTATTGCCAGTTTGGAAGCCACTCTGAGTCCCTTTTGGGGTTGAGGTATACCAGGGCAAAATACAATATTACGTGAATCCAATGCACACCCTAATTTTGACAAGGCCATTTAGCCAACAAAAGTGATAATTAGATTTGAGTAAATATGGTAAATGAATCAAGGGGGCAATATGGTGTAGTGGTCTGAGTGGTCCTCAACGCTAGGGACTTGGCCATGGAAACCCACTGGGTGATCTTGGACACCACACCCTCTAAGCTTCAGAGGAAGGGAAATGCAACCCCCTTCTGAACAAATTCTGCCAAGAAAACCCCATTACAGGTTCACCTTTGGGCACCATGAGTCAGAAACACCTGGAAGGCACAAAACAACCAACAGATCAAACAGACATTCAAAAGGCAACAATACAATAATGATCTTTTTCAAAATCAGTAGGAATCCATCCTCAGCCTACACAAAACTAGTTATCAAAATCAGTGCATACAATGTTGAGTTTTTTTATCATCCCTAAAAATACATCTTTAAAGATGAAACCTTATATAGCTTTGTTAGACATGTAAAAAAATGTAAAAAATGTAAAAAAAAAAAATCTTACCCGATTCCCCTGCACTGAAGTGATCCAATGGATTCCCTTCTGTGTCAGGATTTAGTAGCACCATTTCAAACTGAACGTCCTTGGATTCAGAATTCTCATAATTCTCCGCACAGGTAAACTTGTCGACATAAAACACATACCATGTGTCTGGATATGGAACCTGAGACACTGTCAAATTCTGTTCAGTGTAGTTCATGTTCACTTCAAAAGGAAAGAGCAAAACCAATACAGTTAGACAGCTATTCATGACAGATAAGCAGAAGATACTAGCAAACCAGGACCTATTTGGCTCATTTTTTCAAACTGTTGTAGCTATAATGCAAAAATGGGAACCCTCCATCCCTAAGGCTGAATCTAACCTATCTTGACTCCTAATCTGTCCTCTGGCCTTCTTGAGGTGGCTTTCCCTTTCCCTACTACACTGTTGATTAGTGGCTTCACAGAAAGTTTACAACACTCTCTTAAGGCTCAGTCATGGTAGTAACAGCCTTAAGCCAAAATATATTTGTATTTTTGGTCTTATCTCTTTGCTCTTGATCAGTGGTTCTCAACTTGTGGGATCCTAGATGCTTTGGCCTTCAACTTCCAGAAATCCTAACAGCTGGTAAACTGGCTGGGATTTCTGGGAGTTGTAGGCCAAAACACCTGGGGACCCACAGGTTGAGAAACACTGCTCTTGATCCTGCTCCACCCTGCAATGTGGTCCCTCCAAACTTCTCTGACACTTAATTCAGCTCTCAGATTGGGTTCCCCTTAGCTCAATGTTGGGGGTCACAAAAATTTGGCAATATTAAAAGGTTTCTGAATGTCATCCATTTATACATATGCTGAACGCCACATTTACCTCTCTTAGCAACAACATGTGCTGTATGCAGTGAACTCTACAACAAATGCTTCAGTTGTAATCCTCAAAAACAAAACAAAAAATAGCCTGTTTAGCAAACCTTGTAAATGCAGATTTATTTTCAGTAAATGTTTGATTTTATACCCATTTTCTATACCTATATATACATGGAATCATGTAAAAATTTGTCCAGCAGAAAGGAGTAGCAAGTGGGAACACTTTAAGAAGGCCTTGTTTAGAAAATCTGGCTCATCACTGAAGGAGGACACTTAAGTACAATCATTCATATAATCACCAATACATGATCCAAAAGGAAAACTGCTACTATTGACTAATTCAGTGATACACTTATGCATATTAATGCTATTCTGTCCTTCTGAAACATAATTTGCATACTGTTACTTAGATCAAAACACAAATTACAAGTGATTGTTATTTGTACTTCTTTGAAAACAATGCTAAGAGGATCTTCAGTGTCTTTGCACATCAAACATTTGTGCTCCACAGAAGTGGTATTAAACTTTAGAGCTTGAATGCCTGGCTTCATTTTCAAGAAGCTGCTAATTGGAAAGGGGAAAGTGGGGTGGGGGAGCAGGAGAGACACAGGGAACACTAGAGCTTCTTGCTATAAGAGATTTTCTCACTACCGAACAACACTGCATGCTGCTTCTCCAGTAGCATAATTATGAAGCCAAATATTAATGTTCAAGATATTAAAAAATGATCAGCTAATTGTGCAATTAGGAAATGAAAAGAAATTGCTTTTTTCAATCAGCTCCAGGGAAACCAGTTCAGGCCTCTATTAGTTTGAAGAGAGAAAACTGACAGTAATAGAGAAGGACTAAGAGTTAGTCTCCCATATCAATGGATTCTACATCCACTAATTCAACCATCCGCTATTTGCTTAAAATATTGTAATATTGCCATTTTAAATAAGGACACCATTTTACTACACCGCTGTATATAATGGGATCTGAGCATCCATGGATTTTGATATGTGGGGTGGGATCCTAATCTATACCTTGCACACCAAGTCTATGCTGGATAAGCATATTTAAGACAGTATATTTATTAGTTATTTGCTTATCTACTTCTTTTTTCCTGAAAAGGGATTCAAATAAGCCCAAAATACCATGAAGCTAACTAAAATACTAATGAAAGATAAAAGCAGATTAAAGCCAACATTAAAAGGGAAAGCAAAAACTCTCTCTCATTTATGGCTTTTTCTAATTTTGAATAATTTGATAATATGTAATAAAAAGTCTATATAAAACCTGGAAGATGCTTCCATCAGAAGTTGTGAGGGTTTCAAACCTGGGCTGTGAAGCTGGGGAAGTGGCAATGGAGGAAGGGGTTTCAAACCTAGACACTGCTTCTTTGGCCTCTTCCACACAGCTGCATAAATCCCACATTATCTGCTTTGAACTGGAATATATGGCAGTGTGGACTCAAATAACCCAGATCAAAGCAGGTATTGTGGAATTTTCTGCTTTGATATTCTGGGTTATATGGCTGTGTGGAAGGGCCCTTTGATGAGAAGGTGAAGGGAAAGCAAGGGACAAAAGCTGGATGGGAAGGTGGGGGAAAGTAATGAGAGCCTGGCATTGTTGGGATTACAATGGCGGATAGGTGGGGAAGCAGAAAGCTTGGGGGCGGGGAGTTGGAGCTAACTAAGCAGTAGCTACCAATTCACAAGCAATCAATTCTGCAAAACTATAGGACCAACTGTCATGGATGAATTTAAAAACCAAGGCAGGCCTGGCTTCTAAGATAAATTAACTTACAACACGATTTCTGTGTCTGTATACCCAATATAAACCCCAGAAGGTTCTAATATAATTGAATGTTGGACTGAAGCCTCTAAGAAGTTCATGTTGGGAAGGTTTCCCTACATTCCTAAGTTACACTTCACATCTCAGAAGTAATACTCAAGACTCTCCAGTGATTTTCAAAGGTTGGAAATGGCTGCAGATGGAAATAAGGGGAGAGAAGCCCATCTATCATGAATTTCCCTAAATTAATTCATCTCAGGCTCCAAGATGCTGTGTTGTTTTTAAGTTTTAAATCTTCAAGTTGTCTTCGTAAATTAAGGACATATCTCCATCTTGCCATACTTACGTATCAGCTGGGCTTTAGAGAGCCGTTCTTGACAGCTGTAATCCTGGGAGTTTTCTTGCAACTTTTGCCATTCCTGAGCTTGAAAAAGATGAAGCTTGGCTTCTTTTTCAACAGCGGTTGCTACGTTGTTGATTTTGATGTACAGAAGAGCACAATCACCTTGATATTTAATACAAAATCAAATTATGTTATATATTATAAAATCAGAAAGACAAGTATCACATAGACAACTTCACTGGTTGAAATGCTTCTTAATATGGTCTGCTGACAAAATTTCACTATCTTACCAAAATCATTAGTCCCAAATGGAAGTGTAAGTTGCCACTAGTTTATTTATTTGTTTATTTCATTTATATCTCTCCCTTCTCAACCTCGAAGGGGACTTAGAGTGGCCTTACAAATTGGGCACCAAAACATAAACATACAATACAATAAACATTTATATTGAATGTTTGCCTTTTATGCTTGGAATCCGCCCTGAATCCCTTCGGGGAGATAGAACGGAATATAAATAAAGTTTTATTATTTTATTATTACATTAAAACCAAAACATTAAAATATAACCAATTTATAACCAATTATTACAATCACGCTATCTAGAATAATAATCTGAAGTTGTTCAATAGGTCTGTTCACTATTCCTTATTCTCTTGTTGCACTAAAAAACTTGCTATCCGAAAGCTTGTTTGCATAACCACGTTTTTACTTTCTTCCTGAAGGTTAGGAGGGAAGGGGCTGCTCTATTTTCACTTGGGAGGGAGTTCCATGGCTGAAGAGCCACCACTGAGAAGGCCCCATCTCTCGTTCCCACCAGTCTCACTTGCAAGAAAGGTGAAATCTAGAGCAGGGCCTCCCGAGAAGATCTTAATATCTGAGGTGGATCATAGAGGGAGATACATCCATACAGGTAAGCTTTGAACATCTGCTCCTTATTTAATAGTTTAGTATGCAACCATGATGTGAAAGCACTATTTTTCAAAATTCCAGGTAGGTTCTGGCATCTGATCTGGAATGGGGGCCAGATTCATGGAAGCATAAATGGTCAAAAACTGAACTCAAAGGAAGTTGCACATTTAAGACAGGAGCGGCCTTTGTTGAAAGTGTGAAAACCATATCCTCTATTTTGATAACATTACACAAAGTCCCATGGCACCTGAAAGAGTAACAATTTCTACTGCATCACTTTCCACTTCACTTCATTATGTACATGCAATCACTCTAAACTTCCACACATAAATCAGAAACATAGGCTTACTTATTTTTTTAAAATGTGAAATCCTTCCAGCCTAGATCTGTATAAAGATTATGGATATCCCTCAAGGTGCATGTATCATTTAAATACAGTCTAGTCAGTTGTAACTACAGTAGATCCAATGAGGAATTGTTCAATCAACAAATGTGTTCATTTCATTGATTCAATTGGTCCATTTTTTTGTGACCAATGATTGGGATTTATGACTAGAATATAATGCCATTCCCTGCTACACAAATCCATTCAGATTTAACTGATTTAAGTACAATTCATTAAGAAAGATACAACTGCATCTCCTAAGACCACAGAAACATGAAGATGCAGAAAACACATGGCAAGCAGGAGGAGAAGGAATGCTGTGGGAACATATAATGATATTGGGCAAATCAAGAATGGGCCTGATAGGTCATAGTGTGAATATATGGAGTGAAAAAGACCACCACACTTCTCACTTCAGGCAGAAATGACATTGCTACCTTAGAGGAGTGGTTCTCAACCTTTGGGTCCCCAGGTGTTTTGGCCTACAACTCCCAGAAATCCCAGCCAGTTTACCAGTTGTTAGGATTTCTGGGAGTTGAAGGCCAAAATATCTGGGGACCAACAGGTTTAGAACCACTATCTTAGAACATTAGAGCTGTTATGTTGGATCAGAGTGCGGGCCTACTGCAGTAGTTCCCAAACTTTAATCTACCAGATGGTTTCAGACTTTGATTCCCAGAATCTTCAGCCAGCTTGGGTAACAGTAAGGAATTCTGGGAACTGGAATCTAAACCACTTGGAGGGCCAACATTTGGGAACCACTTGTCTATCTAAACCATATACCAGTTGCCTGCAGAAAACCTACCAGCAGATCAAAAATGCAATCTGACACTCCCTTTTATATTCCTAAGAACTACTCACAGAGAGGCATATTGTTTGTGACAGTGGAGCCGATATCAAACCTATCTAGTAATCATGGATGGTTCCACTCATCATTGTGCATCCCTCCCCCTTTAAAACCTTCTAAGCTACTGCTTCTTAAAACTGTGGGTCTTGATCTCATTAGCTTAATGTTGGGGTCATGAAAAAATTGGCAATAGTAAAAGGTTTCTGAACATCACCTAGTGGCCGTTTTAGTCATTAGGTGTCTCTGTCAGTGAACTCTGCAGAAGATGCTGTAGCTATACTTCATAAAAAGGAAATCAGTCTGTTTAGTCAGTCTTGAAAATGCAGACTTGTTATCAGCAAATGTTTGATTTGTATACCTATATACTCAGAGTTACATAAACATTTCTCGGGCGGAAAGGGACCACAAGTGGACAAGTTTAAGAAGTCTTAATGTAAACCGCCAGCCATCACACTTCCTTTGGCAATGGATCCATGGTGCAGAAAAGTATCTGGTGCTGGGCTTCCTGCCTTGAGTTTCTGCCCCTCTTTTTGTTGACCAGTGGTTCCCAACCTTTGGGCTCCAGGTGTTTTGGACTTCAACTCCCACAAATCCTAACAGCTGGTAAAATGGCTGGGATTTCTGGAAGTTGAACTCCAAAACACCTGGAGGCCCAAAGGTTGGGAACCGCTACTGTAGACCTTTAAAAGAGAATGCGTAAAGCCATGGTTTCTAATCACATTTCCATGACAGTCAATAACCACAGGCCTTCCTTTGAGTATGTCAACACAGGATCTGGTTGGGCGGTCCCCCCATCTCTATGTAATTTAAAAGACATAGAATCTTGGGATTCATAGTTGGGAGAGATCCATGGGACCCTGGAACATTTTAATAGTTTGGATGGGTTTATGGGATGTTACCACTTTTAATAATTCTATGTGTAATTCTATTGCAGTGGTTCTATCTTCTAAGTGTCAAAATGCCAATTGTATTGTTGTTTACGGTTGTTAGAGGCTTTGAGTCTCCCTTAGGAGAGGAAAGTGGAACATAAACATGGAAAGAAGAAGAGAAAAAGTGGGGTATAAATAAACATCATCATAATACATTGTCGAAGGCCTTCGTGGCTGGATTCACCGGGTTGCTGTAGGTTTTTTCGAGCTGTATGGCCATGTTCCAGAAACATTCTCTCCTGATGTTTTGCCTGCATCTATGGTAGGCATCCTCAGAGGTTGTGAGGTCTGTTGGAGGTAAGAGAAAGAGCTCTTGTCTACTGGAGGTATGTGTGAATGTTTCAATTGGCTACCTTGATTAGCATTTAATGGCCTAGCAGTTTTCAAGGTGTGGCTTCCTACTGCCAGGGGGAATCCTTTGTTGAGAGGTGATTAGCTGTCCCTGATTGTTTCTTGTCTGGAGCTTTCCTGCTTTTATTTATTGGTATGATTTTAGAGTTTTGTTTAATACTGGTAGCCAGATTTAGTTAATTTTCATGGTTTCTTTCTTTCTGTTGAAATTGTCCACATGCTTGTCAACAAAGGATTCCCCCAGGCAGTAAGAAGGCAAACCTTGAAAACTGCTAGGCCATTAAATACTAATTAAGGTGGCCAATTGAAACATTCACACCTACTTCCAATAGACAAAAGTTCTTTCTCCCACCCTGGACTTTCCACAGATATATATAAACCCAATTTTCCTCTGAGGATGCCTGGCATAGATGCAGGCGAAACGTCAGGAGAGAATGCTTCAGGAACATGGCCATACAGCCCGAAAAATCTACAGTAATCCAATCCTCATAACAAAAACAGCAGTAAGTGACATATGGCTTAGTCGTCTGAAGTATTTACAGCTGCCCGGGTATCCCGAGTGCTTGTCTATTCTACACTACGGAATAAAACGGACCTTTTCTGGTTACGCACTAAACTGCAAATCCCACAGAGCAGTGGTTGCCAACCTTTGGCCCTCTAGGTATGGTGGACTTCCTTTCCCAGAATTCCCAACGGTGGGCCAATTCAGCGGGGGCTCCTGGGGATTGATGTTCCCTGGCAATTAAAGCGGCAGGAGCACCCTCCAGTGTGCGGGGGGGGGGTGCACCTCAAAAGAAACCCCCTGGAGGATGGATGAAGGGAGGGAGGGAGCGCGCAGGGCCTTGCCTTACCGTGGAACTGAAACTGCGCCGCCGCCAGGCCATTCCGGGCTGCGGCGCTGGAGAAGCCCCCTCGGACGGTCTTGGCTTGGCCGGCCGGGAGCCAGAGGAGGGCGGCCCAGGCCAGCCACGAAGACGGGGCCAGCGGGGGGAGCAGCAGCAGCGCCCGCCGCTTGCGCCCCATGGCCCTGGCCCCGCCCCATCGCCACCACGTCTGCAGCATCGCCAGAGGCGGGCGGGGAGGCGTGGCCAGGAGAGAGGGGCGGGGCCAAGAAGGGGGCACGCCTGGCCAATGGGCGCCCTCCGAGCCAGAGTGGGAGGGGACGACGCCTAACCGACGGAGAGAACCCTTCGCTCAGAGAAGGGGCAGCGGACCAATCACGGGCGTCGGTGGGCGGGGCTACACTCATAAAAAGTCCCTGGCCACCTGCCTAGAAAACGGGAAGCGTGCGCGGCCCCAGAGGGAGAGGATGGCCCTCCGTTTGGATTCCACCGCAGTGAGTGATGGCAGTTGATGTGGCATCAACCTGTATTGAGTTGGCAGACGAAGTGACATACTAGCAGGTCTAAAGAAGCCACAAAGAGACCTGGGCGGAAGTGACGTAGGCAGAGGGCAGAGCGGAAGTGACGTGTGAACTGTGTTGGTATTATTTTTTTCTGTTTCAGGAGCCACTTGAGAAACTGCAAGTCCCCGCATGGGGAGCTGGAGCTGACAGAGGGAGCTCACCCGCGCTCTCCCCGGATTCGAACCTGCGACCTGTCGGTCTTCAGTCCTGCCGGCACAAGGGTTCAGTCCACTGCGCCACCGGGGGCTCCTGTGGTAGAATGTCCGTGGAGCAACACGGCGGGGCAGCGCCCTTCGCCAAGCGCGTCCTGGTCACCGGAGGGGCAGGCTTCATGTAAGTTCCCCCCGGGCCCCGGAGGAGGAAGAGGAGGACCCCCTCAGGCCCTCCGCCGGCGCTCTCTGCTTCTTTCGCTGCCCTTTATACTTTTTGGCCACTGACAGGTTTAGGCCCCAAAGGCGCCTCTCTGTGCCTTCACCTCGCCTGTGACTTATAGCGACCCCATTCATGGCCTAGTGTTTTCTTAGGTAAGAAGAACTTCCTGACTGTGAGAGCCGTTCACTCTGCCCCGGAGTGTGGTGGAGGCTCCTTCTTTGGAAGCTTTTAAACAGAGGCTGGATGGCCGTCTGTTGGGGGTGATTTGAATGCAATATTCCTACTTCTTGGCAGGGGGTTGGACTGGATGGCCCATGAGGTCTCTTCCAACTCTTTGATTCTAGGATTCTATGCTCGGAGGAAGTTTTGCCCTCTCCTTCCTCAGAAACACAGCCTGCAACAAAAATGGTTTCCCAGCAAGTATTGGCCAGGACTGGCCCTGCCTAGCTTTCAAGACCAAACAGGACTTGGTGACTTTAGAACAGTGGTTCCCAGAATTTTTTTGACCAAGGACCACGCTCCAACATTAGTACCAAAAGTGTTAGGAATCAGTCGAAGGCATTCATGGCCAGAATAACTGGGTTGCTGTAAGTTTTTTGGGCTGTATGGCCGTGTTCCTGAAGCATTCTCTCCTGATGTATTGTCGAAGGCTTTCATGGCTGGAATCACTGGGTTGTTGTAGGTTTTTTCGGGCTATATGGCCATGTTCTAAAGGCATTTTCTCCTGACGTTTCGCCTACATCTATGGCAAGCATCCTCAGAGGTAGTGAGGTGAGTTACCTCTGAGGATGATGCCTTTAGAACATGGCCATATAGCCCGAAAAAACCTTCAACAACCCATTCTCTCCTGATGTTTCCCCTGTTTGTGGATTTCAATGGCTTCTCTGCCATATAATGTGGGATGAAAGCTGTGAAAACTAATCAAATATGAACCTGATCACGTTATCATGTCAGAGTACATAGAGAAGCCATTGAAATCCACAAGCATGTGGACAATTACAACAAAAAGGAAGAAACCATGAAAATGAACAAAATCTGGCTGCCAGTATTTAAAAAAACCTCTAAAATCATAACAGTAAATAAAGACAGGGAAGCTCCAGGCAAGAAACAATCAGGGACAGTTAATCGCCTCTCAACAAAGGATGCCCCCAGGCAGTAAGAAGCTACACCTTGAAAACTGCTAGGCCATTAAATGCTAATGAAGGTGGCCAATTGAAACATTCACACCTACCTCCAACAGACAACAGATTTTTCTCGCAACCTGGACATTCCACAGATATATAAACCCCACTTTCCTGGTTTCCAACAGACCTCACAATCTCTGAGGATGTCTTCCATAGATGCAGGTGGAACACCAGGAGAGAATGCTTCTGGATCATGGCCATACAGCCTGAAAAACTTACAGCAACTCAATTACATTGCAGAAAATTGCTGCCGGGTGAGTCTTCTCTGCTCTGGCCTGGGAAGCCTCCCAAGGCCGGGAAAGCGAGGGTGAGGGAAACACCTTGTCGTTTCCTTCTCTTGCTCTCCTCCAACAGTGGCACAGACCCCCGGCGCTAATTTTCCCTGCATGTCACGCGGCCCTTATTTTAGGTCTCGCAGCTTATCAGTGGGCTGTGGCCCACTGGTTGGGAACCACTGTGTTAGGGTATTAGGGCTCATTAAAAAGGTAATTCCAAGAAACGAAGCGTTCTTGCCTGCCCATAAGTATGTTCCTGTGACAGTGTTATTTCATTCTAAACTTGGTCAAGAAAAAGTTTTTGAACCCCATAATGGACATAGTGTTCAGTTATGAGATACAGGCAGCCCCCAGGTTACAAACAAGATAGGTTTTACAGGTTTGTTCTTCCCTTGAATTTGTATATATGTTGGAACAGGTACATTTTAATGTGTAACTCCAGCCATATGTATGTGTGATACACATTCACACAAATACACACACATATATACTTTGGATTGCATGTCATTCAACACCCCTGTGGATTTGTTTTGCTGCCTGTGTCCCTCTTCAGAAGATTTCACCTCACCTTCTGCCTGTGAGAATTGAATTTTGACAAATGTGGCTTGTGGAAATAACGATTGGCGATAAAGCTTCAGTTGAGACACCTTTCCCCCCTGATAACTCTTCCACGAGTGAATTTCCCTTCCTAGGGGCAGATTTCTCTTACTTCATGTTGTCTCACCCCTGTTCTTAACTAGAAGTCATTTGTAAGTCAGATGTTTGAAACTTGAATATTGTCCTTTTTGTATTCTGGTTTCCTAAGAAAAACCTTAGGAATGTGTAGAGGTACCCTTGGAAAAAGCAGTAATGGTAACGCCATCAAAACTTCTGAAAATGTGGGAAATGGCAGAGTACTCATTTATGTGAACTGCTGAAATCTATGAAATTATTTGCAACAATATTAATGTTTTTGTCTTTTCTTTCAAAACCTGCAGTGCATCTCATGTGGTGGTTTCTCTTGTCGAAAGGTATCCAAACTATATGATCATTAATCTAGATAAGGTAAATTAATTTGTTTATATTAAGTTAAGCCTTGACATCCATGCACTGGCCGTTAAATATGCAGTTGTGTTTCAGGATGCAAATAATTGAAATTCTCCTGCATGGTCTAGTGTAGGCTCTTCAACCTGTGGCCAAGCTTGTAGCCAAGGGGGTGGTGGTGGTGGTTTATGGGTTTAATCCCCTCCCTGAAAGATTTCAGGTAAAAAAAAATTATTTACTCATGAATAACCAAACCTCCTTGCTAAGTCTATTAGAAGCAAAAAACTGCAAGCACTACCTCAACCAAATGTTGGTAATTTCTTCACACTATCATTATCTACCTTTCTGCCAAGTTACATTGCAATAGCAGCAAGAGTGGAAGCAACCATGTTTTGACATTGCAGGTGTTTAATCAATATTTTTGAAGTGAAGATGACGTAATCCACCAGAACTGACACCGAAATCGGATTCCCCAGGTTAAACTCCATAAAGAAACTTAAGTTTAAATACAATTTATATTGTTTCCAAGTATGCCTCAACTATGATAATTTGTTTACCCTTTAAAATTTTAAGCTATCAAATATTTTTGAATAACTAGACACCAGATTAAAGGTATTTTTATGTAGTTTCTAAAAATGTAATATGTGTGAACCATTAATTTTGAATTTTAGATATTCCAATTTCAAGTGAAAATATATGTATAAGAGATCTTTCATAATGACCAACATTTTAATCAACTTTTTTGTATCTCTGACCAACATTTTAATCAACTTTTTTGTGAAAATTAAACACAATTATAGATTGTATGTAGTATAATTTGTTTTTTACCCCCATGTAATTATCCTTAATATTTTTTGAAATATTATAAAAAAAACACCTGAAAGTAGTCATGTCACTGCTCTCTTGCTTTCCTCCCCCTCAATGATTCAGGGCTTTTTACCTGTGAAGAACGTTGCACAATTATGGTAATCTCAGGGCCTTATTGAGATCTTGTGCCAGATCAGGGGACAACGACCTAAAAAGTAATCTTGAAACTGCAACCACAAATGCCCAGCAACTGAACGAATAAACAACAGTAACAAAACAAAATGAATAAATAGACATTTGTGGTGACAAGGGAGTCAAAAAATTGTTGAAAGATGTGGTGCATCACAGTGTTTCTCTGTTTTGGCAAATGAAACTTTGGATGCGAGTGCCTCAAAACAGTTATTACTCTCAACTGGACTTGCAGTCTTGAGTGTCCACTGAAGTTTATCGACAGAGCCTGATTTCTGTCAAAAGTGTATTGACACAGTTTTCAAGTGTTTCCAACAGGAGTTGTGGCATTCTTTTCTAACCACTAAATTACCAATTAAGGGTCATTTTCAGGGTTTTTTTTTACTTGAAACTTTGTAGCTAAAAGAGAAATTAGTTTTAATTAAATCTATATAAAAATATAAAATGAGTAATGGAATTTAAATTATTTTGTGTTATAGACCTCTTCATGATTTGCTAAAAAAAAAAAAGCCCCAGTCACCCTGTTCAATGCTTAGGAATTCTGGGAGCTGAAGTCCAAAAAATCTGTAATGCCACAGGTTGAAGATCCCGTCATTAGTGGTTTAAGTGTTGGATCAGACTCGGAAGACTAGAGTTCAAATCCTTGCACAAACATGGAAACACTCTGGTTGTCATTAGGGGAAAAGCAATGGCATTGGATTTAAACTAATTAGAGGATCATGTGATTTACTTATGTGTCTGATATTTATCCTTACTGATTCTAATGGGAACCTTTCATTGTACAGCCATTAATTAATAATTTTTATTGAATTTACCTGAAAATCATTGCTGGCAAACAGCTTATATTTTCTATAGAGAAGGTTTTGCTTGGATGCTGATTGGAAGCAACACTGTGTGAATATATTCTCAGTAGTTGATTCTTAAATTCAATTTTTTTTTTTTTGGAAATACATATAGTTTTAAAGCTTGTTGAAACAAGCTTTAGGATTTGTGTGTTTAGGATTTGTGTGTTGTATCTGCTCCTATACTAGCAGCTTATTATAGACGAAAGTATTGATACTGACTAAATCCAGAATCTGATAAGTGCCCACTCCACTGGTTTGAGAGTTTCAAAATGTAATATTTTTGTTATATTGATAAAACATCTAGCCATTGTATGCAAACAGTTAATATTGTATGTAGCTGTGGTGAGAAGCTGCAACTAATTACACGTGAGTTTCACAAGCAATTTGTATACTAAAACAGAATCAATAAATGAGAAGCATAACTCATGAAACAAATCTTAATTAGAAATAAAAATTATTACAGTGTATTCTATGGGCTAAAAATATCCCACTTTATTGGTTAATATGAGTTTTCCTGATCTAGTTTGGTCATAGGGAAGTAACAGTACTTAATTTGTCCATGTGGGTGCATATTATCACCAGGCAACATTAACTTGCAATTCAGCTGTTTCTGCAAGATGCATCCATTACAGTCTTGTGCACTTAATTTGGATTTCAAGCATGTGCACATTATTTTGCATGCAATCCTGTCTTGTGAAATGGACAGGTTCTGTTACTATATCTTCTAGAAATGAAGTGTAATGTACCTTTTCTCTCTCTTTCTTTTATCAAGCTGGACTATTGTGCAAACTTAAAAAACCTAGAGATTGTTTCTGAGAAACATAACTACAAGTTTGTCCAGGTAGGTTCAACTTCTTGGAAGATTTATTTATTTCGTATCGAAAGCATTGTATAAATTAGCTGCCAGTAAGTTTCCGCAGGATGTTATTGTGTGCAGCTACGTTGTGCTTGGTGTTTATGCAGTGTTTCCTATATGTTAGTGTTCGATCTAAGGTGACACCAAGATATTTAGGATGGAAACAATGTTCAAGCTTTTGACCTTCCCAGGTAATTTTCAATTTCCTGTTGGCTTCGCGGTTCCATAGGTGAAAAGCACACACTTTTGTCTTGGCAGGGTTAGGTTTCAGGTGGTTATCTTTAAAGTAGCTGGAGAGATCTTTCAAGGCAAGTTGGATTTCAACTGTTTCAAAGTCTTTTGCTTGTGTTGTTAGGCCAAGATCATCAGCATATATAAAGCTCTTTGTGAATAGTGGCTGTGGCTGATGGTTAATAAAGATGTTAAACAAGGTCAGTGCAAGAATGCCACCTTGGGGTAAACCATTCTTTTGCCTCCTCCATCTACTTTCCTGCCTTGAAACTCCACATAGAAGCTATGGTTTTCTAGGAGGGTCTGGAAAACTTTTGTAGAATTATAGTCCTGGGTAATATGATAAACTTTCTGCAGCATTTTCTTACGTTGACCGTGTAATAGGCTGCTGTTAGGTCGACAAAAACTGTTCCAGCAATGCAACCTTTCTCATATCCTTCCTTGATGTATTCAGTCAGATTAAGAATTAGGGCTGTACAGTTTTCTCCTGGTTCTTGGTAGTTCACAGCACTTCTAAAACCATCTTCAAAACTGAGGCAATACTTCTCTGTAGACTTTTCTGATAGTCATCCTATTGAATTGAGGTCTGTTTCTGTGAAAGTGGACATTGCTTTTGTTAAAATGATGTGTCAATCGGGAAATCTCTTTAGAAATAAACTGAATTTTTGTCCTTTTTTATAAAGAAAGGCAGAAAACCTCATTTACTCAAAATGGAGATATTGTTGTGTGTGTAAAACTGATATTCCCTAATTTTGTCTTTTCTGTTTTCATAGGGAGATATCTGTGAGCTGAATTTCATAAAAGAATTATTTGAGACTGAGAAAATTGATATAGTATTACATTTTGCAGCGCAAACACATATAGGTGAGCACTACATAGTACTAATTTTCAGCATCTGTACAATTAATAAATTGTATACTTGAAGATCTATTTGTTACAGGATGCTCAGAGGCAAAGTTTGTGTTGATGTTGGATATTTATTTTGATATTGCACCGGGGGGGGGGGGGGGGGGGTCCATCTGTATAACTGTTGGGAGCGGAAAAAGCATTCTTTCTAATATGAGTTGAAATCTAGAAGTCCCTCCATAGCTTTGACTTTTTGTTACCCATATTGAGCCATTATTTCTCCCTGTTTTGCCTCAAATTTTAGATCTTTCCTTTTTGCACAACCTTGAATTCAACTATGTTAATGTTTACGGGACTTACATTCTTGTTAGTGCTGCTTATGAGGCTAAAGTGGAGAAGTTCATCTATGTCAGTACTGATGAAGTGTATGGAGGAAGTTGTGATCAGGTGAGTTTGGATCAATTTTCCCCTTGTCTTTAGATCTTTTTATAACTGCATGTCAATTATGAATAGCTTTGTTTATTTGCTTCTCATGACCAACCTAAAAATCTGTTCTAATAATAGGAGTTGAGCATCTCTTGTCTGCAACATAATAAGCCTTTTGTGGCTAGCTCTTTAAAATGTTAGGAAGGCAAAGGTATTCCATTGAAGAAATGTATTCATGTATTTCTAATAGGATGTTTGATAATGTGCCTAACTGGGAGATTACTGTTTTTCATTAACTGTAGCCATTTGTACCCTAATATTTTGTATCACATTTTATTTTTTCAACATAGTAAATGTCTAGAATGTAAACATACTTATTTTCTAGGAATTTGATGAATTGTCACCCAAAAAGCCTACAAATCCTTATGCGTCATCTAAGGCAATTGCTGAATGCATTGTTCAAGCCTATTGGGAAAAATATCAGGTAAGCAATAATGAGCCTAATGAGGGTTGAAATTTTACTATTTTTCCAATGTGCTCAGTTTTTGCAGAGATGACTGGGTGTAAACAATAACAGCTTTATTTATAACCTGCCCTATCTCCCGGGGGGGGGGGGGGGGGGGGGGGGGGCTCAAAAAGGAAAAAGATACAGTGCAACTTGCATTTTTGGAATTTGTGTAAGCAGATTACTTTGAATCTTAGCTTTCAAGAGATGTGAAATATTTCCCACTTTCTACCACTCACTTGTAGAGGAATTTATTCCCCCTTACCAGCAGAACAACAACAACAATTTCTGGGTTTAGTTCTCACTAAACTATCGACAGCTACAAGGAGTTGGGGTCCCAATTTCTACTGGGAACCTCCAGGGTTGTTGGAATGCATTTCCCCCCCTAAAACCAAAACATAATGAGGTATGTATTGCCCAAGACTTTCATGGCTGGAATCACTGGGTTGTTGTAGGTTTTTTCGGGCTATATGGCCATGGTCTAGAGGCATTCACCTCACTACCTCTGAGGATGCTTGCCATAGATGTAGGCGAAACGTCAGGAGAGAATGCCTCTAGACCATGGCCATATAGCCCAAAAAAACCTACAACAACCCATAATGAGGTAGTTTCTCTCTCCCTTTGGAAATCCAAATCTTAATTTGTATAGTTGCTCATTAGAGCAGGACTGGCATCTACAATACGAGAAACGGCCCCAAATCTCGACACTTCAGAATTTCTTATTTTGATTTTATGTGATATTTTAGAGATATAAATAGAACACTGCTTAGTCTTGTTTTGGAAAGGAAATGCTGTAAACAATTTTATGGCTGTTTTGATTGGATTTGGTCTAGTAATATATATGTCTATTTTAAAGTTTCCAGTCATTATCACACGGAGCAGCAATGTTTATGGGCCTCACCAATTTCCAGAAAAGGTAGGTTAGATACGTTTCAGCCAGTACTCTTGTTTAAAAAAAATCCCTATGTAGAAATGCTTGTTCATAGATAAATGTTAAAGAAGTAATAAAATGAACATTTGCTTCCTGAGAAAGCTATAGCATGGCATAGGTATTGCATGTCAGTAGACCGGGAGGTGTGGGGGCCTCTTTATCAATATCTGACATTTCATTTTCCCTAAAATAATGAAAAGTCTGGAAGTGTAGTTTTGCTTTATAAGATCATTTTTTCACAACAAAGCCAAACTTCATAATTGCAGTTAATTCACAGGGTTACAGGAGAACTGCAAAAGTGGAAAAACCAGAAATAAAAAACTGTTTTTAAACTTGGCACCTTTTCTTGGAATCTCTCCTCTAGTGCAAGTCTATGGTCAGCTTCCACTAGAGCAGTGGTTCTCAACCTGTGGATCCCCAAGTGTTTTGGCCTACAAATTCCAGAAATTCTACCAAGTTTACCAGCTGTTAGGATTTCTGGGAGTCGAAGGCAACAACATCTGGAGACCCACATGCATTAGAGGTTAACCATGGAATCATGCTGGAGGACTTTGAAATACCTAAGAAGTGTTCTCTCAATAGATCTCCAGGTCACCTAGCATGACTATAGTAAACTTCTAGCAATCACAGTTGAGAACCTATAGAGAATCTGCAAATAATGAATTACTCCAAACTTGGAAGGCCAGGATATTTAGTTGCTGCCACCAAGCAGTAAGAATTTGACCACTTGTGCAATTCATGTCCTCAACAATGCAGTTGGTCTTTTAAAGACATGTTTACTACGTGTTTAAATTAGATACAACATTAAAGTTAACTTATGCAGATTTACTTGGTAGTGAATCCTACTTTGCTCAGTGGGACTTAGTCGCTTATAAGGGTGTTGTGAATTGCAACCTAAATTGGGAGTTTTCTTTCATTGTCTACAATACATTTTTCATTTTCTTCCACATAAAGCTATTGACAAAGATTCACCCATAACCTCACTGGAAGGTTTATAATGCCACCAGGAGCTAGATACAAATATCTTTGGTGCAGGATATGATTCAGTGATTACCAGTTCCCCCCAGGCTGTCTTGGCTCTTGCAAATAGCCTTCTGACATTGTAAGGGCACTCTGAACATATTGCCACTTGTAAGCAATGATTGAGTTGTCATATAACGAATGTTAGCAAAATATTAAATGAGGGCTGTATGTTTTAGTTCTTTTAATTGATGTGCATCATTTGTATTGCAGAGTGTTCTGATCATGTATCTATACTCGTTGGATCCTAGATGGGGAGGGAGCTATAAACATTGAGTCTTTTTCTTTTAAGTCCTGGTGTCTGCATTGTAATTGTTATTGACTTCTGATTTTTAAAAAATATTTCTTAGGTTATCCCGAAGTTTATTTCACTCTTACAGCAGAACAGAAAATGGTATGTGGCATAGTTACATTTATTATTCCCACCCTCAATGTCTTTTCTTTTAATAATTTTATTTTAATATAATACATCTACAATACACATATAAATACATGGACACATACACATACATAGTCAACTCGCCACCCATGTTGCAGTTACCCCTCGTCCCACTCACAGTGCACCCACCACCTTGGCTTCCATTACTAATTCTCATAGAGTTTATGCTCATTTTATTTACCTCTCTCTATAATTCTAGGTCAATACATTCCTCTTGTTTTTATTTCTTCAATTCTCCCATCAGATATGCTATAGCCAGCTTCCAGTTTCTTCCAAAAGCTTCATGGCTTTCATGTTTCAAATTATTAGAAATCTTGGCCATCTGTGTGTAATTCCAGTTTGTTCCTCCAATTTTTAATGCTTAGTATTTTTCCCCAGCTTCTTAAAGATGTACTTGGCAAGATGCGAGAGGAAACAGCTTGAAACTGATGCCACTGATTTAAAAAATAAAGGGTCTAAATTGGGTTTCCCAAATTTTGAACCTCAAGGGCTAATCTAATATGCATTCAGCTTTTCATCAGACATGTAGCTCCTTAATGCCATATTCCACCACTAGAGGTCATAGAATGCTAAATCTGTTAAAAATTTAATATTGGGAGGAATTACATTCATCAGCTCCCACTGACGCAGACCACAGTCTTGTATGTCAACGCTTTCCCATAAATTTTAAACAGTCTCATTTTGTGACAAATAGTTGTGAATGCAAGATGCATGTTATCATCAGCTCTTGTGATTTGACCTGCATGTTAATTGTTTCACAAAGTAAAGAGTATCAGCTCAAATCATAACATTTTAGACATCACCTCCATCTAGTTTTGGTGAGTTTCATTTGGCAGTTTATGATCTTACAGACCTGAATATAATGTTAGGAGAGTGACAGTCTTGTTAGGGAGAGTTGTACTAAAGGTTATCAATTACCTTCTTTCCCTTTAGTTGCATTCATGGCTCTGGACTTCAGAGAAGAAATTTCCTTTATGCTAGTGATGTAGCAGATGCATTTCTTACTATATTGAAGAAGGGACAGCCTGGTGAAATTTATAATATTGGGACCAACTTTGAGATTTCTATTACGCAACTTGCAAAGGAATTAATTCATCTTGTGAGTAACATAATTGAAAAATGTCACTGATTATGAGAGATAATTAGTTAATTTGAACTTATGCATTTTGCTGAGTGAATGGCTCTGAGATAGATGCCTTAGGCAACATATATATGGACATGGACACAGGAGAAGGTGCAAAGCTGGGCTTGTTTGCTTTGCTGTTTCTTGGAGTCTGCTAGCATTTTGCTCCTCTACCAGCTTTTACATTGCATCTCTTTCAACTCCTCTGCTCTACCCAATCTTGGTCACATTTCATACAAACTGCGTTTTGCTTTTTGTTTTGTTTAAAGATTTGATGGTTTTAACATTGATTTTCTCAGTTTTATGTTTTCAAAAAACTTTTTTCACGGGTGGCTTTAGGTTTGAGAAAAAAGCCAGGTTAATTGATACTGTGTTCTGAGGAAGTTTTGTTATTAATGGAGGGGTTATTCAGGCTCAGTTATTGGGCTCCTGGTCAAACTTGTGTCCACCTAGTTCACACAAGTGGCTTGTCTATCAACAATTGCAATGAGAGAACTTCCACCATATTTACTTATTTAATTTATATCCCACTTTCTTCCAATACAGAACCCAGTATGGGCTCAATTACACAGTTATGTATTTCTGCATGTATTTAATTAATGCATTTCACCGATTCTAAGATGTAGGGAGCCCCCGGTGGCACAGTGGGTTAAAGCACTGAGCTGCTGAGCTTGTTGATCAAAAGGTCGCAGGTTCGATTCCGGGGAGCGGCGTGAGCTTCCGCTGTCAGCCCTAGCTTCTGCCAACCTAGCAATTCGAAAACATGCAAATGTGAGTAGATCCGGCAGGAAGGTAACGGCGCTCCATGCAGTCATGCCGGCCACATGACCTTGGAGGTGTCTACGGACAACGCTGGCTCTTCGGCTTAGAAATGGAGATGAGCACCACACCCCAGAGTCAGACATGACTGGACTTAATGTCAGGGGACTACCTTTACCTTTTTTAAGATGTAGGTTTCTCCCCCAAATTGAGGTGCAAGAAAGGAATTGAGTTTTTTCTTTAAAAAAGGATCAGGAGCTGTGTCTCAGAATGAGAGGGGAGCCAGCTATCCTGGTCAGCCCCTGGAAAATCTTCTCAACCTGCTCCTGATGTAACCTGGTATGCTGACCTCACCCTGGGTTTGTTTTGAAGGGAGAAGATCATGTGATGGATGCAGCTCAGAGAGAGCAGGAGCTATATTTCCCTTTCTCTCCCTGTCCTGCTTGCTGCCATTGGGAGTAGAAGTCACTGGCAAGGGGATGGGGAGATGGAGGGAGCCACGGAGAGCCACTGCTGCTGCCTCACACTCCTCCGTCTCCCTGTCATTTCATCACTGGATTCCATTTCCAATGGCAGCAAGCAGGACAGGAAGAGACAGAGAGAAAAGGACTACTACCATGTGACTACTACCCCAAAGAAGCTGTCATCATCCTTGATCCTCTTCCATCAAAACAAACCTGGGATGAGGGCAGAGTGCTCTGGCCAGCAGTGGGGGGCAGAGGCGGCAAAACAAAAGGGAGGTGTGTGGTTTGGGAGGCAGAGGCAGAAGTGGAAGTGAGTTGGGAAGGCTTTCCAGGGGCTGGGTGGGACAGTTGGGCTGCCACACTAGTAAAGTCTAGGCTCAACTAAAAGTGGTGTGTCTTGCAGTGGAAAATGCATTTTTTCAAAACTCAAAGCTCAAAGATCTGCATCCAAAAATTGATTGTGTCCTAATTATGGTATTGTAATACAGCACTGGATACAGTGTGGGTATATTCTGAAAGAAAATGTTACTTTGAACACTATTATACAATTGAGAAGAATGCATTAATAACTTAAATTAATTGCTGTAAAAGCTATCTATATTACATAGAAGTGGCTTTAGATAGAAAGCAATGAACACTGATACATGTTTTTGCTTTTTTATTGGTAATATGGATCTTTACCTCCTTGACAGATAAAAAATACCAGTTCAGATGCTGAGACAGAATATTGGGTGGATTATGTTAAAGACAGGTAGGATGTTGGTGATGTTTTTTAATGTTTATGTATTGTATGTGAATTTGTGTCCCGGCATTGAATGTTTGCCGTGTATATGCCGTGCTCCGTCCTGAGTCCCCTTCGGGGTGAGAAGGGCGGAATATACATGTTTTAAATAAATAAATAATAGTTAGGACTACAGCTTTAATCGTCCCCAGTTAACATAGTTAATGACGAATAGAGTTGGGAATGACTATCACACAACATCCAGAAGGCTACATCATTCTCATTGTTATTGTTGTGTGTGCTTTCAAATAATTTCTGATTTATGGCTACCATAAGGGGAACCTATCTTGGGATTTTCCTGGCAACATTTATTCAGAGAGGATTTGCCATTAGCTTCCTCTCTGCCTCAGAGTAAGGGAGTGGCAAATCCCCTCTGAGGCTAAGAGTGTGACTTGCCCAAGGTCACCCATGAGATTTTCAGGCTGAGTGGGAATTTGAACCCTGGTCTCTAGAGTCACAGTCCAGCGTTCAAACTACTGTGCTATGTTAGTTCTTTATATCATTCCAATGCTTGATCCTAAATGACTAATGAACTGCCAAAATCCACACAATCAAGCATTGTGCTTTAATGCTAATGTTTATACTAGTTATGACTGTTTTGAGAAATGTTGATATAAAAAGTTCAAATTACTATCCCATGTTGGCTCTTTACATCATTCACATGCCTTGTCCTAAATGATCAATGATCTGCCAAAATTGTGCTTGATTGCCTATACTCGTAATTGAGAAATGTTGATAAGAAAAAGTTCCTCTTTAATTACGCTCCTCTTCTAAGTGAGAGATTGCAGAACAGAAGTTTGTATAAAGATTAAAATGTGAGGGGATTTAGTTTGTAAAGATGGGGAAGAATCTGAGTACATGAAACTTTGGATAGAGCTATATAAATTGGAATTTGGTGGGCTTACATAGATGTTTATTTCATTTCTATGTCCTCTTTCTTCCAGAGTGAGTGGCCAAGCTATTCCCAGAAAAAGTCAATTAAAAAACATACCAGTGATAAGCTAATTTTGAAACATTCTGATACATGTATTGTTGAAGGTTTTCACAGCTGGAATCACTGGGATGTTGCATAGTTTCCGAGTTGTATGGCCGTGTTTTAGCATCATTTTCTTCTTACGTTTTGCTGCATCTGTGGCTGGCATCTTCAGACTCTGATGCAGGTGAAATGTCAGAGAAAATGCTGCTAGAACATGGCCCTAAGGCCCGGAAGCCCACATCCCAATGCATCTTAAGCATTGTGCATAATTTATGCAAAAGATGAAGAACATTTTATGCTGCTGTAACTTTATTTTGCACTTTCAGAGTAGAGTTGAGTAGCTTGTGTATGTCAAGTGGTAACTGCCAATAACACATGGAAATGTCTAAAGGGGCAAGGTTAAATCCTTGTGCAAGGAACCGCGTCTCATATCAAGAAAAGTCTCCTTAGTTTCCCCCCCCTCTTTTTCCTACGTGTTGTACCTTTTAAATTGTCAGGGCCTTTTAATCTAGTAGGAGAGGGAGTGCCTTCCTGATCATTGCAAGCCCCTTGAGCAACCTTTTGGGAAGGGTAAAAATGCTAATTACAGTCAAATGACTTACTTGAGACTTAACTGCTTTAAGGCATTTCTGCCATTAAACAATGTTCTCATTTTTAGGGACAAAAATGGGACCTAAATATACAACAAGAATTGGACTATTAAGTACTTTCATTGGAACATTTTACGATTTATATGTCCTTGAAGCAATGTTATATTGCAGTACCTCCTGACTGCCTTGAAACAGAGCAAAACTTGTGAATGTTGAACTGCTCCTCAATGTGGCTTTTACTTGCCTGCTTCCTGATGTTTCAGTTATCAGATGATGCTTCTTTCATATATTGTAATTTGACTGGGAACATGTATTATAGTAAGAAGTAATGATTAGTCCCCGTAAGGACACCCATATTTAAAACACTTAAGATGGCTGTTGATGTAGGGACATATACACTCCCAGCCTTAAGCTGTCTCAAAGTGCGTTAGCTATAGCAAGAGCTATAGGCTATAGGAAGGATAAGCTATAGGAAGGATAGGCTATAAGGAAATCTTGAATTGAATTTTCAAAGTTTTTCTGTTGCATGCCACACTTTAAGCATGCTAGTGGTGTGAGTTACTGAAAAAAATATGCTGTGGTCTGATTTGGCACGCTTGAATTTTGTATACCTTTGGGCTTTAATTTATGTTTCCCTTTTTTGTAAATGTACACATTAAAACCAAAAGTACATCTAAGCATGCTATACTATGTTGTGGTTTATTATTACATTTCCAAGGACTTGCCTGCAGTAGACCAAATTAGCTACTAATTGGGTTGCTGTGAGTTTTCCAGGCTGTATGGCCATGTTCCAGAAGCATTCTCTCCTGACATTTTGCCCACATCTATGGCAGGCATCCTCAGAGGTTGTGAGGTTTGTTGGAAACTAGGCAAGTGAGATTTATATATCTGTGGAATTTCCAGGGTGGGAGAAAGAACTGTTGTCTGCTTGAGGCAAGTGTGAATGTTACAATTGGCCACCTTGATTAGCATTAAATGGCCTTGTAGCTTCAAAGCTTGGCTGATTTCTGCCTGGGGATCCTTTGTTGGGAGGTGCTAGCCGGCCGTGATTGTTTCATGTCTGGAATTCCCCTGTTTTTTAAGTGTTCTTTATTTACTGTCCTGATTTTAGTGGTTTTTAAATACTTGTAGCCAGATTTTGTTCATTTTCATGGTTTTCGCCTTTCTGTTGAAATTGTGCCTTTTTTGATTCTGATAAAAGGATCACTCTTGTCCTGCAGAGGTGAGAGGATCCCCAAGAGGGATCCTGTCATCTCTGCAGGAGTCTACCATATACCATGTAGCTATGGAACCACCAAACGCAGCACCCAAACACAAATCAAGGAACATGAAAGGCACTGCAGACTACTTCAGTCAGAGAAGTCAGCCATAGCAGAGCACCTGATGAACCAATCTGGACGCAGCATATTATTTGAGAACACGGAAATGCTGGACTACTGTAACAACCACCATGTCAGACTACACAGAGAAGTCATTGAAATCCACAAGCATGTGGGCAATTTCAAAAGGAAGGAAGAAACCATGAACATGATCAAAAGTTGGCTACCAGTTTTAAAAACTCTAAATCAGGACAGTAAATAAAGAGGAACACTCAAAAAGCAGGGGAATTCCAGATAAGAAGTAATCGGGGTCAGCTAACTCCTCCCAACAAAGGATTCCCCCAGGCAGCAATCAGCCAGGCTTTAAAGAAGTTACAAGACCATTAAATGCTAATCAAGATGGCTGATTGCAACATTCATCCTTGCTTCAAGCAGACAAGAGTTTTCTCTCATCCTGGCCATTCCACAAATATGTAAACCTCACTTACCTAGTTTCCAACAAACCTCACAACCTTTGAGGATGCTTGCCATAGATGTGAGTGAAATATCAGGAGAGAATGCTTCTGGAACATGGCCATACAGCCTAAAAAGCTCACAGCAACTTAGTGATTCCGGCCATGAAAGCCTTCGACAACACATAACTAATCCATTGTATAAAGGCTGCCTTTCAAACTGGAAATTTTCCACGGCTAAATCAAGTATTAAAATTTCCAAGCTCTCTTGTGTTTATACATATTGTTGTGGTTATAGTCATCCAGTTGAAGGTTAGGAATGATTTGGGTAGCTTGCTTGGGTAAATAATGCCTGATTGCATAAGCCATGTTGTGCAAGTTAATGGGAGAAATATTGATTAGTATCAACACAGTAATAGGTTGAAAGGAAAAAAAGACAATGTCTAATTACCTTTTGTTAATGATTGATATATGTTGCTTGGAAGTAAAAAATATCTCCCATTGTCTCTCCTCCCCCCCCCCCAAAAAAAAAAAAGACCTATAAATGACTTGGGATACCCAATGAACTCTGGAAAAATGTACGGCTTGGGATGGAGGCCTAAAGTACCTTGGAAAGAAGGAATAAAGAAAACAAGTATGTTATTTTGTCAGTAATTCTGAAATGGATGTAGAGGAACAGAATAGGAACATTGTTTTCAAAAGTGCCATGGGTTATTTGGATATTGCCATAATTCAAACATTAACAGTTCAGAAAATTAAACCCCTAAAGCTGCAGTTACTAAAGCAGAGTATTCCAATACTCATTTGTATTTGCATATTCTCATAAGGGCAAATCAAATGGACTTTTGTGGCTTGGAGAATGGACAGTGTACGTTACCGTCAGAATGCCAATTACCAAGATGCATTCTTTTATATTGACAGCATAACCACATAACACTGTATTCAGTTTAGTGTCTTCTAGCTTATGTATTTGACACTGCAGCAGAAGGAAGAAAATCTTCCATTTTACAGATAATATTTTTTGCTCATATCAAACGGTATAGTTTCATTTGTGAAGCATCCATTTTTAATTTGAATTATTTGTTAAACTCACAGCTTAATAAAAATAAAAACAGATTGATAGCAACAGCAAAAACAGCTCAGGAGTAGCTGGAAGTCCACATTTGCTTTGAAAAATCTTCCTTTTTATGCTGAAGAATAAAGTGGGACTTTTCAATGTGTAGCTACTCCTTGAGACTTCCAGGAGAGGAAGTTCACCTTCCCTCCCTCTTTTTTTAAAGGCGGGTCCAGGGAGTTAGCACTCCTGGGTCCTTAAATTTAGCTAATTAATTTAATCAGATAACGCTTGGATGTTTTACCATTTTCTAATTAATGTTTATCCTAAAGAGTTAAATAATCCAAAATATTGAGTGTGTTAAAATAATCTAATCTTTTCAAATGGTACTAATTCTTAGTGGGTTTGGAAGCATTTTATTTCTGTATACTTCTTTTATTATAAAATACATGTTTATCATGAAACACATTCACTGATTTTAAAATACTTGATACAACTCTGTTCTTGTTAATTTTTCCTCTTGTTACTGCATTCTGTCCACCTTTCTTTTAGGCTTCAGATGTGCCAAACAGTCAGACAAACTAAAAAAACCCTCTTTCCTTTGTAGAAGTCACTCACCTCTGCCTTAGAACATGCTGTCAATGTAACTTGATACTTTGCCACATGAGATAGAAAGATCTTCAAAGTGAAGAAAACCAAACAAGCCCAAACCTGTGTTCATGATTATAATTAGATTGTGGGTGCAACCATGCTTTCTGGTGCATGCTTAGCTTCATCCTGCTTTGAATTGCACTGTGTTGTGTGTTGCTTAAAATACTGTATAACCCTCACATCCAAGGGACCGGTACCCATGATTTAATTTACTCGTGTCCAAAAATGTTTTTTCTAGACATTTTCTAGGGTTTCTTTGGTATGCTTTCACCAGAAGTTGATCATAATGTCTTGCTAGAAGAGCTGGAAATGGAAGGAGCAGTTTCTATGTCCTCTAGTGCACTGGTTCTCAACTTGTGGGTCCCCAAATATTTGGCCTTCAACTCCCAGAAATCCTAACAGCTGGGATTTCTGAAAGTTGTAGGCCAAAACACCTGGGGGCCCACAGGTTGAGAACCACTACTCTAGTGTGATATGCTCCTGCCGGAAGTCACCCAATTTAGTAGGGTTCACTCTTATTTGCAATTTCATATTTTCATGCTAAATCCGGGAACATGTCCCCTGCAGATATGGTGGTCATGCTGTATTCGAATTCTAATTCTAACATTTATTCTCTTACACTAGTTGAATGGTATCAAGAGAATTTCTACAACTGGAAGAATGCAGAGAAAGCTTTGGAGCCTTTTCCTGTTCCTGAGAAATCTGTATGATTCAATCTCCAACAAAACTGGGGGGAAAAAGAAGTGAAGAAAACTATTCTACCTCAAGACCATATTATGAAAAATCTGCTTAAGCTGCTAAAGTGATGGTGCCTTGTTTTCCAAGAAATGTGAAATATCAGGGTCAAAGAAGAAGATAGAATGAAATTCGAGATCTCTAATCTTAATCCTTTTTGGGGCTCAACTTAATTTAATCAACATTCCAGTGCAATATCAAAACTCAAATGATTTTTGAACATAAATAATGGTATTAAAGCAATTTTCAATGAAATGTATTTGTTTAATATATTAATTTTATATTGTGTATTAACTGTTACTTTTAAAAAGTCTAGGTAGCAATTTTTTTTCACTGAACTTGGCAGAGAGCTTATGCCAAATACTTTTCTATTGTACTTGCTGGAATAACATGCTTATTTCAATCAAATATATTTGATTTCCCTTCTGTTTATTTCATAATTCTACAAATCTGTTAACATTGCAGACATATAGGCTCTTATAAATACAGATACATATTACATGATGCTTTTTCTGGGTTATTTTAAAACTTTTTTCTGTGTCAAGAGTGACTTGAGAAACTGCAAGTCGCTTCTGATGTGAGAGAATTGGCCATCTGAAAGGACGTTGCCCAGATAACGCTTGGATGTTTTACCATACAGTGGGAGGCTTCTCTCATGTCCCTGTATGGGAAGCTGGAGCTGGCATATGGGAGCTCACCCCACTCCCTGGATTCGAACTGCTGACCTTTCAGTCAGCAGTCTTGCTGGCACAAGGGTTTAACCCATTGCACCACCGGGAAAGGTTTAGAGCAGCTTGGCTGTATCTTGTATTCCAGTCTCTCCTTCCATTTTCAGTTCTGTCCAAATAGCAACTGGAGGATCTGAAGGAAATGTAAGAATCTAGTCAGCCTTAGGTTAGCTTCACTAGGATTTTGCAAGGTCCTCCAATGCAATTCTATGGTAACTTGCAGGAGAAGCATGGTAACTTGCTTGGAGGACAATTCCTACTTTTTAGTAGTGGCAGCAACATCATGACAGTATGCAGTGTATAGTAACACAAACTCCCCTGATAGTCTTTTTTGTAGATGTTTAGAATCCTAAAAGTGCAATAACCACAGTTCTGGCATACCAAAGGACCACGCTGTTGACTCAGGATATTGGGCTATAAATCTAATTCCTATAATGAAAAATATGAAAGCAGCATTATTTTTCTTCATTGCATTTTCAAGTTATGGCACTTCTTAGAACAGGTTTATCAGCTTAGTCCATGAAGTGCATGTGGATTGACTCTTACCACGAACTGCATAGGGCTTCATTAGAATCAAAGCTCTGCCAGTTCCAAAATGTAGATTGCTGCTTGAAAGGGATTGCTTTGCTACATGGAATTATTTTCTGTGTAACAGTTCAGAAAGTTCCTTTTGAAAAGTGATTTGGTCTTGTTACATATTACAGTGTTTGAGAAGTAATCCATTGCTAATGCTAATTGAATCTTGAAAGAGTAATGTGCCGTATTACTTTTTGCATGGCTTGTTCCTTTCCCATAAATATTTTGTAATTTTTTGAGAAGCAAAATCTTAAGAGAATGATATAAAAATTGGAAAAAAACCCCAACATCCTGCTATCATGGTAGCTCTAGAAATGCCCTGGAAACTGTTACTTAGTATATTACGTAAAGGAACTTTGCTCTTGCTTGTTACATTGCTTTTGAAATGTATGTATGTTGACACAAAAAGTAACTAGTCACAGGTAATTCATTCCTTGATTTTAAGATTGTAAAATTTACGCTACACCAGGTCTCTTGTGCATATTGTTTGGGACACATGTCTGCCTCTCTCACATGTCTGTCTCTGGAGCACTGCCGGGTCTGGGAGCCAGTGTTATCCCTGAGACTCTGGTAGGTTAGTGCCAAAAACAAAAAGCCAGAAGGAACTGGAAGGGCATTTCCACTTTAAAAAAAAATCAACTTTTCAAAATGTTAGACAGTGTGGGAAGGCCCTTGCAATCTATTCGAAAGATGAATTGCCGCTCCAGGAAGCTTTCACAGTTTCTTAGTGGTGCTCGTTTCCAAAAAAGTACCAAATCTATCTGAAGGAATTGAATGTGCAGAAGATATGCATTCTTTTGCTATAAAATGCATTTTTTCAAGCCCTGTAACTAAGTGATTTGATTCATTTTGATAGCTTTGACCCGTACATAATATTCTACTCCTAGCCAACAATGTTCTGCCACCAATTTTTCATGTTTTTGTTTTTTGCTTTGATACCTTTTGGAAACAAACTCCACGTTTTCTGTATTTGTGTTAGAAAAAGAGCAGTTGGGAGTGTGGAGGTCTCCATGTGGCCAGGGAGTAAGGAAGACCATCCCTGATCTAGAGTAGTAGGGGATAATGGTGTTGGACTGGAATCTCCAGCATATTATTTTGCCATTTTCTGTGCTGGTCAGGGCTCTTGGGGTCCAACAGTAGCCTAATCATTGCTCGGTGTGCTGTTACTTTGGTTTTGCCCACATGTTTACAATTTTCTCTCCCATAGTTTCCAGATGCTCTTTAGCAGCTTATTTCAGCTAGACCAAAGAAACACTTAGTGCACCTTAAATAGGAAATTTTTTTATTTTACACAAGCTTTCACAGATCGTGACCCAATCCAGAGGTATCTGATAAAAGTTGTTTATGTCACATATAAGGCCCAAAGTTTCTTAGGCCCAAATCCAGCCCTCAGTTTTTGCTGGAGTTTGGTTCCACAAACCCCAGTGGATACCAAAATCAGTGAATGCTCAAGTTTCACAATATGCAAACGTATGCCATGGGATCTCTGAAATGATACGAGTCTATAGCAGGTTATGCCCACACACAAATATATTGCAAGGATTGCTTTTCCTTTTTTGTTGTTTGAATCAGTGAGTGCATATCCTATGGATATAGAGGGCCAACTGTAATACTAGTGGAGAGAAAAGTCCCATTGGCAAGGCTGCACTGGATTGCATCATTGGACAATGCCCTAACTCAGAAAATAGGCATTTGCTGTTGGAATAGCCACTGGGCTGGCTCAGTGACATCAATGGATACTCATCTTGGTTTTTAACATGCTGCAATACATTTTTAAAAATTCCTTCATCAATAATGTCCTGTCAGCATAGTTGAAGTATATTTCTCCTTTTTAAAACAACAAGGGGGCTTTTAAGAATTGGGGGTTGCATTATTCATAAACCCATTGTCAAGTTCTATGCAATGTAAAATGACTGATGAAATAAAATTATGATTTGATAACGTAGTGATGTTGATTCATAATACAAATGTAACATCTGCATGTTTACTTAACGCCAAGGGTTTAACCCTTGGACTGTGGACTTTTCATTCTCATTAGGACCTACTTCCATGGGGAAAAATGATCAGATTGATTTGATTTGTATAGATCAGAAGCTCCCAACCTTTTTTTTTTTTTTTTTTTACCAGGGACCACTCTCCAACATTAGTACTAAAAGGGTTGCGAATCATTTTTTGGCCAACTTTAGTGATTCTGTTTGGTTATTTGGGGTGCCGATTCAGAAAATTGCATTGGATAGACCATATCAGTTCTAGTTTCTGATACAGAACATATGCCATCCAGTAGTTGCCATCTGCTCGCCCACAGAAAACCATATTTAATAAGCCTCGGCACTGTATGAGGGTTTTATGAGACCAGTCGCTCTCATTGCAACAGTGTAGTAACAATGAGGCTGTGGACCATATTTTATTTATTGCGGACCACTGGTGGTCCACAGACTGCAGGTTGGGAATCACTGGTATAGATGAATGGCAGGTTCTGCAGATTATATTTCAGAGGAAAGAACTCAAAACCACTTCTGAATAATCTTTACAGTATTAAACCTTAAGTTACATGAAGGCACATACACACATGCACATAGTTTGCTTATGTTGTCTCAAAATATAAATTAAATTATTTGATATTGAGATATTTTTCTGAATAAAAATGGTTTCATTCATGCACTTCAGTACTACTCCAGATTCTGCACTCATTTGCACTCTTAGATATAGAGCTAGGCCAAGTAGAAACCTGAAACCACATCACAACCAGATGTAGAAATCAGACATTTCATAGATGTTCAGGTGTAGCAGGGGTGGCTGGTGTTCTTTGCCATTCCCTGCTGACTAAGTTTAAGGGGAGCTGCAGTCAAACATGGAGAGTGTTCCATACTTGGAAATATGAAAGCAATTTATGATTTGGGCTGGTGCCTGAACCTTTCCATTTTCTGGTCCCATACTAACCCCACCCAATCTATTCCATAGTTTTCTGCCTAAGCCTCTTGGGGACGAAAGTGAGAATTGTTGCTGCCAGGAGAACCAGTGTTGTTCCTTCCTGTTTTGGATCTGGGTGTCAAGCCATTTCTTTTTCTTTTTTTTTTGGTCCTGAGTGAACCCATTTGGTGCTGCCTCTTTCTGTAAGGTGCTGGAGCAGAACCTGGGTTGAGCCCTACTCTGTGTTTACACTGAATACAGATAGCAATTTGTGGGATCCACCAGCTCCTCAAAACAATTCTAGACAATACTGTCTGTTTTGATGGCTCAGACTACTTATCTCCCATTTTTTTCGCTGCCTCTGTCATAGTGGTTGTGCTGCTTTTGCAGTCTCCTGCCTTGCTCTGATCTTCAGGCTCCAGCAAAGTCCCTGTGAAATTAGACTTACTTCCACTCATCATTATGGGTGATCATTGAGTGGACCCATTGAATTAATAAGATTTTGATTATGCTCTCCAAAAAGGAAGTTAACAGATTCACTCCATTAGAATAAATGATTGCATTTATTTTAGCCACACTAACCCAAGGCACCTCCTTCAAAGTCAACATGGCCAGGATTAGATTGCTGGCTCTTTTTGGGACCACTATGTGTGCAGCGCCACAAAGACACCAGATCTTTGGAAATTAAGTAGAGCCAGTCTTGGTTAGTACTTGGATGCAAGGCTGCCAAAGAATGCCAGGTGCAGTTGACTATATTTCAGATGACCAAACTGGCAAAATCTCTTAAGTGCTCTTGCCTAAGAAAGCCCTATGCAATTCATGGGATCACCATGAGCCAACAGGCAGCTTGAAGGCACATACACATTCATATGTGGGACTGAGAAATACTACAGGGTTTGCCCATGTATTTGTCTTTTTGGCAATCCATGGTATACGTCAGGGTTTCTCAACCTTCCTACTGCCGAAACCCCTTAATGCAGTTCCTCATGTTGTGGTGACCCCCAACCATAACATTATTGTTTTTGCTGCTTCATGAGTGTAATTTTGCTACTATTATGAATAATAATGTAAATATCTGATATGCAGGATGTATTTTCATTCACTGGACCAAATTTGGCACAAATACCCGATACACCCAAATTTGAAGACTGATAGGGTTGGGTGGGGTGGGGGGTTATTTTGTCATTTGGGAGTCACCTGCAATCAAAGAGCATTCTGAACTCCACCAGCAATGGAATTGAACCAAACTTGGTACACAGAACTCCCATGACCAACAGAAAATACTGGAAGGGTTTGCAGGCATTAACCTTAAGCTCACCTGCATCCAGATAGCACTGTGGACTCAAACAATGATATATCAGGACCAAACTTGGCAATACTCAATATGCCCAAATGTGAACATTGGTGGAGTTTGAGGAAAATAGACCTTGACATTTGAGAGTTGTGGTTGCCGGGATTTATAGTTCACCTACAATCAAAGAGCATTCAGAACCCCACCAATGATAGAATTGGGCTAAACTTCCCACACAGAACTCCCATGCCTTGAAGGGGCTCACTAGTGATAGTCTCCCTCCTGCCTTGCACGCTCTCCCTCACCCACACATGTGCACCACACTGCCCACCTGCTCTCCTTTCCCTGCTTGAAGTCTCAGAAAGAGCCTTCCTCTTGGCTGAGAGGCCTGCTGAGAGGCTGGCTAATATCAGCGGAGGATTCTCTCTGTTTCCAAAAGGAAGACAAGGAGAGGCAGTTGCCAAAGGGGTTCCTAGGGTCATCAAACATATATGTTTATTGATGGTCTTGGACAACCTCTCTGAAACCCTCTTGCAACCCCCCCCGGGGGGTCCTGACCCCCAGGTTGAGAAATACTGGTATACATAGAACTGTTATTATTATGAGTCATGTGCATCCATACTGAACAATTACAGTACTCCAATACCACTTTAAATGCCATGGCTTCTTTCTATGTAATAATGGGATTTGTAGTCTTGAGAATGGTGCCATTCAGGTGAGAATGGTAAGAGAAATTTGACTAACTAACCCCATAATTCCACATGGCAGCTGTGGGGGCAAAATGGTCTCAAACTGCTATAACTCTGCAGTGTGGATACATTCCAATGCCATTAGAGAGAATTTATTTAAGTTTTGGTTGCAACATAAAATGATTTTATCCAGATCATTAGCCAATTGATATATGGCAGCTAGTTTTCCTTCTGTTGTAAAAAAAGCTTTAGTCTAGCTTTCATTCATTCTTTGTAGTGTGCAAATGAATTGATTATGGCACAGCAATTGCATTCAATTTCACTCTTCCTTTAAGAACCATTCCCAATAGTGAAATAGACGTGGAGGAATTGTTTGAAACAGAAAGGAAGTTGAAAGACACATTTAAGATAGAGAAAAGGGTGAAAAGAAAGTGGCGAGCCCTTTTTGCCGAATCTCCTCTCGCCTTGCTTACCAGCTGCCGAAATAGCTCAGTTGGGAGAGCGTTAGACTGAAGATCTAAAGGTCCCTGGTTCGATCCCGGGTTTCGGCAAGCCAAGGGTTTCTTTTGAGTTTTTATTCCCCCCCCCCCTCTCTTTTTCCCAAATGTCCTCACTCCAACTTCTGTGGTTTGGGGGGAAATGCTCTCCCTGGGGCTAGTTTTTCTTTTATAGATGATCATAGGACTCGCTGCAAACTTTTCTTGAGCTCGCTGCTTGACAAAGGCATCCGCAGAAGAGAAAAAGCAGCGTCGCCGGCGCCTCATGTGATTCCTCCTCCTGACCCCGGTTGGCCTCCCGTCCCTTCGGGGCCATCCACACAGCATTCATGCACTTGGACGTCACTTTGGCGGCTCAGTGTCCTGGAATCGCCAGCACTCTTGGGCAGAGAAGGCTCATGGCCTCGTGAAACTACAACTCCCAGGATGCCACAGTATTCAGCCTGGGCAATTCAAGGGGGAACAAACTGCATTAATTCTACAATGTAGAAATGCATCCAAAGACCTGTTGAACTGATGCACAGTTTCACTGCCATGACTTGATGATTTGGAACCTTGGGAGTTGTAGCTTTGCAAGGTTTCTAGCCTCCTCCACCAAAGAGTGCACCAAACTACAACTCCCATGATTCCATAACACTGAGTACAGCAGTTTAAGTGGGGTTTTTTTTCTGTGTCAGGAGTGACTTGAGAAACAGCAAGTCGCTTCTGGTGTGAGAGAATTGGCTGTCTGCGAGGACGTTGCCCAAGGGACGCCTGGATGATTTGATGTTTTTATCATCCTTGTGGGAGGCTTCTCTCATGTCGCCACATGAACCTGAGCTGCCAAAATTTGAATACTGGTGGGGTTGGTGGGAATGATTTTGTCATTGGGAGTTGTAGTTGCTGGGATTTATAGTTCACCTATAATCAAAAAGCATTCTGAACCCCACAACAATAGAAGTGGGCCAAACTTCCCACACAGAACCCCCATCCATGACTTGAAGGGACTTGCTGGTGTGAGCCTCCCTCCAGCCTCACACGCTCTCCCTCACCCCGCACATGTGCACCACGCCGCCATGTTCCAAGCATGCCTGCTCTCCCCTCCCTTCTTTCTGAGACCGACAGACCGGCCAATCACAGCGGAGGAGGGCTTTTGGTGGGAGAATTCGCAGTCTGTTTCCAGAAAGGAAGAGAAGTACAGGCAGAGAGATCTTCAGCCTCCTCTGGCAAATATATGTTTTCTGACAGTCTTTAGTGACCCTCTGAAACCTGCTTGTGACCCCCCCAAGGGTCCCGACCCCTGGGTTGAGAAATGCTGGTTTAACCCATTGTGCCACCAGAAGCTCCAGTTAAAGTGCACTCAGAGACTAAGGCACCCTCTACGCTGCCCTATATCCCAGGATCTAATCCAGATTATCTGCTTTAAACTGGATTATATGAGTCTCCACTGCCAAGATAATCTGGAATAAGAAGCTAATCTGGGATCAGATCCTGGGATATAGGGACAGTGTGGAAGGGGCCTAAGAAATGTGAAGATAGCCCTGGTCATGGAACCCTTCCAGGAATAACAAAGGC